TCAAAACAGATTTGTTGTTAAAGCAACTTGGCCGAGTACTCGCTGTGAATTGAAACAACACAAGGGAGCGCAATTTAAGCTTGATGAGATAAAACTATTCATAGGATAAATTAGGATAGACATTATTGGGACCGCAATTTCAAAACAAGGGAATATAAAAGTTATTATTTATCCGATAAATAATGATTTTCGATAAACTTCATCGAAAGATAAGACCATAAATGAAATACAACATTTTATTTCCTCAGTATTACCATAAATATATGATTTTGCATAACATTAGAATGTAAATATATCTACAGCAAAATTAATATTTGTTGCAAAACAATAATTTAAGATACACAGTGTGTATAATGCTAACTAAAATACAATACATTTTTGCTTTTAACTTAAATATAACTACACTATTACAATATATTACTTGTTTATTCAACGTGTTACAACGAAAGTGTTTTAAATTCAATTTTAATATTTTCCTGACAGACATTTGCAATGTTAAAGTATTACACAAACTAATGCTTTTCATAAAATGTTATCAAAGCAAAGTTCTTACCTACAATTCATCTTAATCGGCCCGTCTAATGAGCTATTCAATCCATAAGAAATTATTAACGAAAATAGTATACTTCAACTCGTATGGAAAACATGCGAAACTACTAAAATGAAAGATAAATTCTTCTTAAAGTGGCACATGAAATACTAAACTTCATATCATTCGATGAAAAGATACAATGAGATCTAATTAAATACATCAGAAATGTTCAAAGAAATTTGTCAAACGAACCAACACTTGAATCTTTATAAAAGGCAATGGGCAGTGTTATATTTTACGAGCAAAAATCAATGATACTGAAACGTGCAGTAATCTTTGTCATTAAAATGGCCATTATAAATTAGCTTAATGATAAATTAAAATACATTTTAATTGTACTGGGGTAACATTTGTTGTGTGAAATGTTTTTGGCAATTCTTCATTTAAGCGCAACAAAGTTTTTTTCATTTAGTGTTGAAAATTGTTCCTCGTGTATTTAGTAATTTTATAATAATTAAAATTTTGCTCGATAGGTAAGCAAAAAAAGTGGAATAAACATATTATGTGTACATATTTTTTGTTAGTGTGGTCCTACTTACTCAATACAGCACTACCGACAAAAAGTGCAACATAAAATGTGTGTCGAGTTGATATATTTTATTTGTACACGTTGGAACAATACTAAGTGAAACAGATTAAATAGAAAAAAAAAATGTTTGGAATTGTTGTTTAATATTAATGAAGCTAAAATGTATGTCCAATTACTAATTTAACCAGTAGTCGAGTAATTAATTTTTTCCCTTAAATTTCGTTTTATTTAAACGGCTAAATACGAGTCTTATCCGGTTTTCATTGAAAATGGCAGCATATTTGTAGAAATTATTGAAATTCTATTAAAGGTTCGAAGTAAATCACTTCTCAATTAATGTTTGGTCACGGCTCGAATAAAATTGTGAACTCTAATTAGTACGGTCGTCATTAGTGATGATAGTCGTTATCTGAATATTGTTCTACATACAACAGCGTCAGTTAATGGGTAATAATAAATGCGTGTTGTAGTAATTGATTAAAAACCGTTGGATATTATTGTAAAATGTCCGGAAACTTTGCCGTTGACACGGAAAATGGCAGCGGGCGACTTCCGGTCTAGGTAGTTTCTCTAATGATAAAATAATATTTACACACATACGTGTAAATATGTATGTAAACAATACAGGAGAGGATGAGTTTGCCCTAATACTCAGAAATAATGATCAAGAAAGAATGTAATGTATCTTTTGACAATAGCGAGGTATAAATTATAATTAAATTGTTGGTATATTTTAAAAGAATTGAATAAAATAGCGATATTATCGAGAGCATTTGATGAATTACAGTTATGGATTATTGTAAGGAGCTCATTTCAGGAGCACTAAAACTATCAACTTAAATCGACTCCCTTGATTGTTACAAACACAAAAAAACCTGAAATGGCTATTTTTTTGGTGAATTTTAGTGATTATAATAAAGAAACCAGGTAGTTTATAAACTTTACCATAATAATGCATATCATTTTTTAATGTATTATTAATAATATCCTAAATTATAGTTTATAGGATTAATTATAATTTTCTAAAACAAAATTAAAAATTAAGAAATATATAATTTAAGCACTGAATAATTAAGCTTAAAAATTAAGAATAAATTGTCAAAGCGCAATTTATATATAAATATGAAATATAAGGATATACTCAACATTCCGCAAACTATTCGACAATGCTAATGCTCTTTTAAAATTTACCCAAATTGCCGAAGTCGAGGTGAACGCCTTTGGCTAGAGTAATAATTGTAGTAATTAGATGAGGAAATATTGAATTACGTCGATTTTAGTATAATATAAGTTTTACAATAGTAGTAAGCAATTTTTGAACTCTTAAGCAATATAATAATTCTATATAAAAGGGAAATGCAGGGTAAGCAAATTAATAATGGTGGGAAAAAGAATATAAAAGGTAAACATGAAAAGTATAGGGGGGCGAGACTGGGTGAGACGAGACTGGACGTTTTTGTCGAAGAAACGTCGAGTTACGGGTACGCGAGTGTCTTTGTACGATTTAATTTTGTTTTATGTTACATTTTTGATATTACTTTTTGACTTTGTGTTTGATACGTTTCTTAAATAAAATAGCTATTTTAAAACCTGGACTTAGAGCAAATGTTTTATATTCACCGTGTTCTTAGAATTGTGTGTGTGTGTGTGTGTGCAGCTAGAGTCAAGGTTGGACTGCTGGTCCTTTAGTCAGTCTTAATAATTAGTGTACGAGCTGGCTAGTTTTTGGGCTTAACCGTCCTTTAGTGGGTATAGTAAAAAAGTAGTTGTGCTGGTGGCTGACAAGGAGCCACCCTTCAGTCTGCTACTTTTGAGCTAGACTGTGCTGACGGGTCTAAACTCTACCCCTTTAGTAGTCCACTAATTAGAGGGATTGGGGCTGATCAGTTTATCCAACGGGAGGACTCGAGAAGAGCTCGAACGACGAACTCGTCGTCAATATATATATATAAAACATTAATAAATTTGTGTTAAACTTTTGTGTCTACGTTGGGGCACTACCGACGTACGACATAATATAATATATAAAGTCACGAAAATATGAAAAATCCAATAACTTTTGATCCAACAAACATTTCACTGTAATTTACTTTTTTAACTACGTCAAATAAATATTTTTTAGCCTCAATCTTACAAAACAATTTTGACATATCGATAACAACTTTAGGATTAGTACTTATTGAATTACAAACATTTTAATACATAGAATGGTTATGTAGCACAAGTATGTGCTCATTCAATATACTAACATGTTTGTAACCCAATTAGTTCTTATTCAAAAGTTGTCATCGACCCATCAAAATTATAGGCAAAAAAAGGCAAAATTTTTCAATCTGATATTTTGCAAAATAAAAAAAATAATTTTAATTTTTTCTTATCAGAAATTAATTAATGAAAAATATGTTTTTGACGTAATCTAAAAATTTAAAAACAGTTAAAAATATACAGCGAAATGATTATTGGGTAAAAAGTATTTAGATTTGTCTTGTCATCGTAACTCAACCGTATTAATCTGTTGCCCAATATTCTAATTGCCTTTGTTATCCTCAGAATAACAAGTGTTTTACGAAACACATTCGAGCATTTTTATGGGAAGTATTATATCTATTGTATCGATTTACCCTTTTCAACGTCATTTTCGATGTTCTTTTTTTTTGTCTCGTGACAAAAAGATTTAAATTAGGCAAAAATGTGTCATGCTAGAATATTTTATACATTCCACAACAATTAAAAAAAAAAATACATTTTTAAACAAAATACAGTGTTCTATACGATTTATAATAAAACAATTTAACATCAAAAGGGATTAATAGAAGTCCCTTTAAATCGGTTGAACGAACACGATTTGTAAATTTTGCTAATTACTTATTAAACTTGTACAAACGACAAAAGTTCGTTTCACAATAAGTACACATTGGCAAACATTTCATTCGACACACACAATCATACACTTTTTAGTACAAATTAATTTTTATTACATGACAGAAATTCTATAGCCTTAACAATAAAATAAAAAAGACAACGCCAGTGAGTTGTTAAAATACCGAGTACTAATATTGCATAGCTTAAAATATCTCAGGGGTTAACGTCCGCAAATAATCAGCCGACTATTGGCGATTAAAAATGTAAAGTGAATTTGTCGATAACCATGTCAAACTTGGTAGCTGCAAAAACCGTAACGTCGTCGCTATACTTGTCCTGTCGGGTCACTACTATTGTCACACCGCTAGTATCAATGGACCTAGTGCCGTAAAACCAAATGTTATATACACATAAATGGAGTAAAATGCCGTGACGGCTGTAAAATTGTTTAACTGACAAAATGAAAAACAAACGTCACATAAAATAAAAGTCATAGCTCGACAATTATAACGTTCGAAAGGTATAAAAAGCGAATGAGAATCATAAAAAAAAAAAAAAAAATTAAATTAATTATACCGTTCTTACGCTGGCGACGGTACAACGATAAATAATATTATACGCTCATATCGGCCGGCGCACTTTTTTGCTCGAAAGAACAAAGAGTGAGAGAGAGTAGGAGACGGAGATAGTTAGCGACGCGAGAGTGTTTTTCACGTTGGATGAAGATTACTATCCGATGTCCCTTATGACGTATGGTCGGGAACCGATACGCGGATAGGGGAAACGTCATTTCTATGGAGTGAGGGATGAAAAGGTTTACAAGGGTGCTGTACGGGGAGGGTTAAGGTCGGTCGGCGAACGGAGATAAGCGCATGAGACCCCGTGTACAACCCTCGACCGGCGAACGTACGACCGCCACGGGACGCGCCACGGTGCGATCGGGTGAGACGGGAAGAACGCATTATCCCGGCGGCGGCGTCGCCGCCGAACACTGTTTAGCTGGTAGATAGGCAGCACCCAGGACCGTGTGGTGGCAGCTCCTCAGTCGCCGAGCGATCACGATGGCCGAGTGAGCCCTACGCGGCCCCACATACCCCGCCGCCGTCGCTGTGTCGTCGGTATACGTCCGTGTGTACGTTAATTTTTTTTTTAATTTTAATTTCTGTAAGTTGACCAAGCGATAACATTTTTTTTTGGATGTCTTAAGCACACACACAAAAAAAAAAAAGATAAATTGTAGTCATTGTCTCTTTACCAACAGAGTCCGTCTTCGTCAATGTCCAATGGAAATTACCCGAGTGACGAACCGCCTCCGGTAATCCGCAGCGTTTTTAAATAGTAAAATTTCACTAAGCCTCCAGTGCGGTTTATCGGTGCGCCAGTGCACTTAAGTATGACCAACTATGGATGATACGACCCGCGAGTCTTGTTCATTGCTCGAGTAAAACTTATATCGCTCTACCTCCGCCGCTTTCAACACTTGAAAGTCGACCATAAATTACCTGTGCACTATTGACATCGGCACCAAATCAAAGTTACGCCGCCCTGGATTCCGATTCTCATGACCTAAGTTTTAGGTGGCCTCGGAAAATGTTAAAGAATTGTTTTTTCGGTAAGTCACGGTTTCGACTGGGTTACTTGAAATCATTTTTAGTCAAGTTATTAAAAAAGTTATAATACGCAATTAATCAATAAGAATAGATTGGAACGATAGGTTCAATCGTTAAAACGTACCCTTTAAACGGGAGCGTTTATTTATTTATGATACACGATTTATTAAAAATATTTGTTTGATTAATCAACTGATAAGACATTCCAAGCGAACTGTCAATTATTGAGGTATTATAAAATGTGTTTGACAAGTCTTAAAAATTTAATGTGAATATTTTAGCTTCGACGTTTTATCGAATTGAATTAATCAAATGTTAGAATTAAAAAAGATATGATTTCCAGTATACGTTATACGTTAAAATTTATGTTGCACACTAAAAATGTATAGTAATAATTAGAAAGTATATTGAAGTAATCTGTTTTTATTAAAAATCCTATTTTAATTATTCGACGAGCGTTGTAGTATATTTTATCCGCTTAGAACTAAACAAGGGTAAAATAAATTTATACTTAAGAAATAACATATTTATTTTTTATCAATAGCGTCCAGTTGGGTGCTGGAATTAAAATTAACAAATGTGTTCAAAGGTAAGACTTTAAATTCTAATCAAATCAAATGAATCCGCCGGGTATATTTTGTTGTCACTAAAAACTTCTCGCGTGTAATCTACTTGAGATTCGCTAACGTTACAAACTGAGAAAAACCATTAAGTTCTAAACAATTACCATAGGGAAAACTAAGGTAGGCTATGAAATCCCTTAAACTCAAGAAGCCGATAAACCTTTTTTATATTTTTGACATTAAAGCGAATTTATCAATGTTAATTTTGGATTTTGTCGAAGAATATCTACCACATAATCTTGAATCTCAACTAGTTAACTGTATCATATTATCTGTATGTTATAGTTGGATTGACCTCTAAATCACCACTGTTATCGGTAATAGCGGTCACACAACAATTTATCCAACAAAATAGTCTCGATTATTTCAATAATGATACCTTCCTTTGTGCACATTGATTCGATTTATTTTTAAAAATCGACAATGATTTTCCTGTAAGTTTAAGATCACATCACGTTTTTAGATTTCTTGTGTTTTTATTTCCGTTGGATGATTCATGTCAATTTATATAAACAAGAGATGTTTGTCACAATTCATTTGAACTACTGCCAATAATATCACACGAAAAAAAAAATCGCGAGAATCAATTTAAATGCCAGGAATCTTTTTTTGAATCGACAAAAGAGAAGAATCAGTTTACCGAATAATACACCGGCATCATTTGGGTATCATTACGGAAAAAACTCATTGCATACGGGTGTTTGTAAACTACTTCATTTTTTATTGTCACCATTAAAGCTCCACTTGAATTTCGTTTATTGTTATTATTATTATTATTATTATTATTACTATGTTATCTCGGTACAATAAAATCTCTCCTCGTAACCAATACGCGGTAACGATAATTTAGATTACAAACGTTCAGCATACGTGAACAAAATATTCTGTTACTACAATTGAATTACACCAAAACTCGCGTGTGTGTCGACGTTCAATACTGACGTTTAAATCCTCCGCGCCGGATACGCTCCATTTTAAAACTTTTACTTGTTTACTATCGTTACTAGCTGTTGGATACATAACCGTGTGGTGTTAAAAATGTTTCAGACGAGAGTCAATTTTAGCCCAGAACAGTATTCACTTGCTGAATTAGTGTAATGTAGGTCATAGAACTGTTGGCCTTAACGATTACCTCTTCTTCACAATACGAGTGAGTATAAATATTAAAAATATCGACGATACTGAATTTCTGTCTTAAGCCATCGGACTTTCTTTCTGTACTAAAATAATAACTATTTCAGAAAAACCACTGCGCGTTACCAAGTTTTCCCAATCAAAAAGATATATCTACTTTGAAGTAAAACATTTCTTGTAACAAACGTTCAGTCTGTAGTTGTTATTTGCAAAACTGGAAATTCAAATACAGTTTTTTGGGTTAGTTTAACTGAAACTTGATAGTTTCCAAGTTTGAAATTTCTTAACGATTTACGTGAAATCCGACTTGTAGTCAGTGCGGGTTTAAAGTTAGATAGCTAAGGAAACTGTCATTATTTTGACGAACCACAATTGGATAATTCGTTTGAATTAAAACACGATTTACTTGGGAAAAAAAAGGCGAAATGTTGTTGCTGTGAGCTTTTGGTCGTTGCTGCATACATTTTGTACAACAGTGTTATTTGTCTCACGCAAAATGTATTAAATATAAGAGCAATAACTCTTGTTATAATAAAATCGCTTTCATCGAAAATACCGAGTACGCAGGATGAGTAAAGGCATTACAACGTTCGACTAAATCACGTGGACGGCAGACGCGTGACGTTCCGGAAATCAATAAGTCGGTTTGATTAAAAATTCTACGGCCAAGTACATTCGTATTTCGCTGTATGGATTTTTGTCGAGAAGAATTTATTATTCACATAAATTATTTTTCCGCGAGTAACACATAAAACGGATTAATACATAACCGTATAAAAAGTTTTAATTGTCGTTCGTTTTAGTATCGGTAAATTCATCGGTGATCGATACAGCCGTAAAGTCACCGATGCGATTCTGCGAAGCGTAATTTACACTAATTATCTGATGTTCCAACACTGGTAGCGAAATTATAAGTTTGTTTCCCTATTGATCGTTTTTCATGGTATTATTATCAATTATAGTTAATAACATCGTTACACTAAAACAATTTAGATTTCAAACACACATTAAACTTAACGATCGATTTTTTTTCCAGTCAACGTAAATACAGTATTAAATTATGTCATACACGTTGAGAGTTATTAATTATCACCAACGCTCGTCTTCTACTATTTAAGGGTAAAAAAATTCACAATTAATTAAACCGTCGGCACGCGTTCACTCGTGGATAATTAATTTTTGCTTCGCGATAACCCAACTTATCATTGTTTAATACTAATTATTAGGTAGAATTTTCTAAATGTATCGATGGTATTCCTTTGTTTTCAAAGTGAAGTGTAGACGTTAGAATCGGATTTAGAGATTTCTTTAGCAGCCGAAAGTTCATTCATCATACTCTTTGTACACAACAACAAAGGAGTAAACAATTAAATTTTTCACTATTTTTTAATTATTTCATCGAACGTTGTTTATTTCAGTCTAACAAAAAATGTTCGGATTTTCCCATAAATGTATTGGATTCTTGAACGCATATAATGTAAAGAAAATGTTGGATAAATAGTGATAAAAATGTTATATTCGTAAATGTACATTCAATATTTTACACTACTTGTGTGTAAAATGAATATTTAAATAAAAATTATATTGTAATTAAATTATACTGACGTATGGGTTGTTTTTTTGATCATTTCTTACAATGTGCATTAAATTCGTCTAATATTTACACTATAAATCGAACTTTGCATTTTATGTTGAATACACAAAATGTATACAATATTCTGTTAAACGAACAAACACAGATTCGTCATTACATTAAGTCATTTAAACACATTTTGAGCAATATTACGACGATGTTATCATAATACATCACATTAGTGATACGTTCAAAACTTAAATTATTCAAAATGAACTCCAATTGTTCTTTGAATTATGACTGCAATAAATCTGTCATTTCTGAACTATTGTTCAGTGTTGCGATATTATTCAATGTGACATACCTTACTCTTCCAACAAATGTTAAACTAAGAAAATTGCATTAAAACATAACAATATTATTTTCATTTTAAAATGTATGTTCACCCGGCTGAATAAGCAAAAATATCAATACACTTTATGAACAGCCTATTACAATAACATGAGTAAACAATACGTAATATAATGTTGTATTCGAAGTGTTATGTTGACAGATGTCTGAAACATAAACTAATATACATTTCCACTATGAAAACTGATTTTTTTCTATAGCAAATCAAATGGAAAAATCATATAAATAGTAGTATCGCTGCGTTTTAAGAATGAGTTACTTGAAAAGGCTCATGTAAAGAGAAACACTTGATAACACAATATGATACTGGAAAATGGTTTTGAATTAAAAACAAGTATAGTAACAAGATTACACGAATAATCTCAACAACACAAAGGGTCAAGTGGAATAAGGGTAAACGAAAGGGATAATAGTTAATTCGTTTTATCATTTCACATATTTATTATTTTTGGTGTGATTTAAATGTTATAACCACATAACAGATGATTAAAAGTTTTAATTAAAAAGTAATATCTGTTGAATATGAAATAAGTTTTAAATAGTTCCATTCGTATAAAATAACGTAAGGAAATGTTAAAACAATTTCTAACTACTACTTTATTCGAATCAACGTGCGAGTTGTTGACTACGGTTAATAATAACGAGACTTATAGATTGATGTATTTTTATGATAAATTATAGTTTAGATAAATCAAACGACTAGTTAAAAAACATCTGACAGTGTACTCTTTAGGATTCGTGTTGACACAAAAATACCATAGAAGTTAGATCTAAAAGTAAATTAAATCAAAAAGTAAAACTTACATCCTAAAATAATTGGTTAGAGTTATTAACATAAGATTGTTTAGGGTTGAGGTAGATTTTATTCATATTTCTTGGGTTTTAAACAATGCAGTGAACTTGTATAGTGTTTTAATTATTAAGTTATAGAATTGAATTAGATTGACCTACTTAATTGTTAGTATAGGCTACATCAAGTAAAAGATAACATAAACATTACTTATAATAAGATAATGGTGAATAATATCAACACTCTAATTTAATAAAAAAATCTAAAACTATTAACTGTTTATAAATTCATAATTACATTTCAAACAGGCGACTAATCTTTGAAATGAAATGAATGCACACTTGTGATAAAATAAACTATTATATATTTAAATAAATTTAATGTGAAATCCGAGTGTCAGTTGTTCATTATAGCAATTAATACACTTTAACATCAACTAATTCTAGATCAAAAAATATAAAGTATTTTATAACTACAAAAATAATAAATATGCTCTATCAAAAATGCATATAGTTTTCACTTACAATTGTATTTTAAAAAGCAATAAGGCGGTTTTGCTCGTAAAAAAATGATACTTTAGTACGGAGCAAAACCCTTCAGTAAAGATGGAATCATTTTTATTATCTTATAAGTTTATGTAAAAAAAAAAAAATGAACTGCAGAGTTAGCAAATCTTAAAATCAACAAAAATCATTAAATTTTCATAAAAAATATGATAAAATCTCAAGATTCATGAGCTCAAGAACCATTTAAGAATAACTAGGAGATTTAAATATTGCGCATGGAACTGTATAAAGCTAAATTATAACATTTGATAATGTGGAATACATTTTCAGAAAATTTACCGACATATCTTAGTAAATTCTCGCTTAATCAAATTTAAGGGAAATGTTCAATGAAAATTATCTTTTTTTTTATGATACTGAGGTTCATATTTATATAAGTTTTCTGACATAAACAAATAAAAAACTTTTTCAATTTAAAAGTTTTTTTAAAAATTTCATTGACTTAAAACAACATAAATTAAGTTACTTCAAATATACATTAATAATTAAAATATAAAAATAGTAATTAATATCACTAGAAATTTAATATAATCGATAACAACAAGTATTATATTAATAAATATGATCAATAACACATTCTATTGCAGTGCATAGGGTAATAGTGTACTTCTATTAAATTCAGGATATTTTTACAGGATATGTACATATATATATATATATATATATATATATATTGATGTATTGAAAGTTTTATGTTTATTGTGTATTGAAACAATTCTTATAGATAGGATATTTTAGTTTTTAAAATTTTTATAATATTGCTTTTACAAAAGTTATCATGTTGAACAATTACATTTTAATTTAATACATACACGGAAAAAACTACAAAGTAAGGCTTACCGAAATTATTTTTAATAATTATGTCTACAAAATAATTATATAGAATATCTCAGATTTAGCTAACAACACATTAAACTTTTGGTACAATTATCAATTTGTTGATTTTTAATAGTTATTGACTTCTTAAACTATAATTAAAGAATAATTATTATTATTTATCAGGAATAAAAAATAAAAAAATATTTTATCATTATTTTTTTTAATTTAAAAATATACACTTTTAGCCCTTTTATTAAAAAAAATGTATTATAACGATAACTATATAAAAAATTAACATAATGATAATTGTTTCAAAAGTTATAAGCGTTATTAGTTAGATCTGAGACACGTCATTAAGTTGGAAGAATTATCTTATATAACTGATATTATAGTTGAACCAACTATATAAATTAGTCCTTCCAACAATATAATTATTTTCTGGCTTTATTAACATATAAAAAATATATTTCTATTCAAATTCATTGTTATTCATTCGGTAAACAAATAAAAGTTGCACGTGTTTCAATATAATATAATGTGATAGCTTCACAGAATATAATATATTCTGTGAGGATATCGCAATAAATATGAAAAAAGTAAATAAATTTAATAATAGATAAACAAGAGAGATAAATAAATACTGACGCTTCCATGTAACCCGTCGATTTCATTTCGAGTGTTTCCAACAGGAAAATAAAATGAAATGAAAAAATGTTTTCCTGGAATAACATAATTTTTTGACACTCCGTAATCTTTTTTAACCATTCAGTTATGCATATAAAAAATGCCATAAAAATAGTTTTATATAGACCTCAGGATTTCTGATTTTTTTAAAATATTTTATTATTACAGTTTATTATGTATAATAGTATAAAAAAACTGTGTTTGCTACAGGTTATCGTTTTTAAATTTTACTTATTACATTTTTAGCCAAAAGACTTAACTTTCGTGAAAACTATACAAGTAACAAAAATAATTAAATGTTTCAAATACTTTGAATGTTAAGTAGTTTTTCTAAATAATTAATTATGAAACTTTTCTTTATGTAAATTGATACAACAAGAAATTAACATTGAAATTGAATTTTGACTCACATATTTCTCGTAGTCAACGTCACGTGTTATTTTAATGTATAATTTTTAAAAATTTCTATCGACTAATTTAAAAAAAATAAGCCTATAAAGTATTTTGTGAAATTATGAATTTCATAAAAATTCTTTGGGTACGTATAACATACAATGATCACTACATATTGACAACATTGAATAGTTTTTAATAATTTTTTGTCAGTTGAATAGCTTTTATGAACAATAATTGTTTAAACTAAGATACAAGGGATTATAAAAATAGAAATTTTTATTTTTTATCGTAAGTGCCATGTTTCAACTAAATACTCGTACATTTCAATTTAATATTGTAATTACTTTTAAGGATCTTGTTGCATTGGCGTAATTATGGGTGGGTGGATATGGATGTCATAGCCTCCAAGGAAGAAACCCTATTTACGACATTTTCTCGTTGTTCTATTAAGTAGGAACTTAAGAAAAAAAATTCAGCGATAATCGGAAAACAATCATCATAAAAAAGTCTAAACAGTAAAACATTTATGTACAATTTTCCTGGCAAATAGGATTACAAGTCGAGCTTACACTAAACAGTAGAGTCTTAATAAGAAAATTGATTTTTATAGTCATTTCTCGGTTTAACTAGACTCGACGTTTACTCGAAATACCTAAGCTACAAAATTGAATAGAAGTTTTAATGTATTCTTGACGTGTTCCATTTTTAATGATAGTAGAAGTCTTAATAGTATCTTGTATATAAAGTTTATTTCGATTATCATTAATCTTGCCAAATTAGTAATTGTGTTATGAATTTCAGTGTATTTGATGATCGAAAATTTAGCATAATCATTTAAATAAAGTACAATCATGGTATAAAATTTGAATATGTTGTTTATAACGTAAAAACTTTTTTATTTTAATAATTGTAAACTCTAAGAGTCGTGTTGAGAAACAGAGTTACCCAGTCAGCCATGTGTCACTGCACTATTATAATGTGTTATAACTATTATTTACATTATTACAATGATGATATAATTATTATAATAAAACACAATTATTTAAATTATTACTATTTTATTAAAGAGCACTATTCCCTGTTCGAGACTCGATCAGTTTGCTTAGAGAGACGCCAGTTCGGTCATTTAGCGACAGACTAACCAGCCGTTCCAGAGTGTTCAAGGTTAAGATATCTCCTCTTCAGGAGAGGCCACTTTAGCCTTCCTGAAGAAACCACTATAGACTTTAATAAAATATAAAACGCAAGAAAAAATATTCGTGTTTGAACTTTTGTTATCAAATGAGAAATTATACCGTAAATTAAACGGGTATCGGTTAGTAATTAAAATTATAGAAATTTCTACCGAAAGGGATCCTTAATTCGATATCACTTGGCCCTTAACTACACTTAATATAAATTTCAATTTAATTCGTAATGTATAGGAACGCTGTACAAGAACTCATTATTACAAACTTGTAATGTGAATTTAACTCTCATATCCTTGTAATAATTTCAAGTATTTTTTAAGCGGGTACCTGCAGTGTACCATGACTTTTCAGCTGGCAATAGCAAACAAGTGTATCATAAAAGAATTGAGATACTATTTACTATCGATTTTGGGCAACAAGCTTGATATTTTCCAACAATAGGTTTAATATTGTAAATCAGGAACAAACTTTCGTGCGAAATCTTACAGTTTAAAATTCTTTAATTTTAAAATACCATTATTAATTATTCAGCAAAATTTATTACATAGATTATTGCTTACTCGAGTAAGTTTTCACTGAGTTTCTAAATTTTAACGAGGTTTATTGTCCCTAAGGTAATGCTTTTTTGTAGACGTAACTGTTATGAATTACTGTTTACATAGAAATATATATGACTAATAAATGTAATACATGTTAAAATAGTTGAGTAATTACTTCTGGTACATGTAATAATTGATAATTTTTGTTTTCAGATCAAATGAACGGGTAACGAGTGTACAAAACAATGAGGGGACGGGGTCAGAGACCGATGGAGCCCGGGTAAGCGAATCGTTAGCGCGACCCAGCCCCCCCGTCCCCAACAATATGGATAAATCGGATCGCAGACGTAGGCCTTTTGCCTTTGACAAGGTATGCATAATTTTATGATATCTCGTATGCCACCAAAGGTGGCATTATATAAATATAAAAAACAAACTGGGAATAACTTAACTTAGAAATTGAAGCAAAAATATGAAAGTTTCTTATTTTTTCATTAAAATTCGAGTAAAAAATGTTGATAAATTATTTTGAATTGGACTACATTGTTATAAAGCATTACGAGTCCTTTCTAGAAAATGTATCTCTCCAATAAGAATCAGAGAGGAAGATCAATATTTACAGTGTAAGTCACGAAATTAAGGAACAAAATCTCTGATTTTAATACGGTAACAAATAAATTCAACGCTAAAATTGATAGGTGAGATTTTGAAATGTCGCAACATAACTCAAATGTATGACATGACTGAAAACATGTTTAAAATATTTTCTTTGACAACATATACCATTAGTAGCATACACATTATGAAATTTAAATCAAGTTCGAATTGTTAGATCTACACCCGAATATGCTTAATATCTATAAATACTTATGAAAATTCTATCCAGTGCTATTCTCAGAATTTTTGCAAATAATTTTTTAAGAGAAATCTTTAGGCATCATATGATATCTATTTTTTCTTTAATCTCTCGAAAAATATTTATCATAATATTACACTTTTAAGTAAATCAAACTTAATTTTAAAGAGTTGGTCTTTTTTCGGAGACAGGGATATTTTTTCATTATCCTCGTTATGATACCAATAAAATGTCAATTGAATGTTATTCGAGTACAAAGCAATGAAAAAGGTACTTTAGCGATGGCAAACTACTGCAACTTAATTGGCAAAATGGTTCGAGAAATTCAGAAGGTATTATTAGATTTCTTGAAAGAGGCATTCAAAAGAAATATTAGTTAGCGTATCAAAAGAAATTGAAAAAATGGTACCGATAATAGCTGTTAGGACAACTTGACATTACAAAGTCAAACAAAACAACCGGCTTCAAATATTGTGTAAATTCCATACAACATACATTATACGATTTTTTTATTATTTATTAATTTTTATTTGTATTGAAAGTTTTAAATATAATTATTTTACAACAATGTATTTGTTTTAAAAGCACACAAAGCATCATTATTAAAAGTAACAAAAAATCAATTTGATTTAAATTTCATAACAAATTTAAATAGGCTATCAATAAAAATGTATATTCAGAGACATATTTAGAGTTTTGACATCTCAGATAGTTTTATTGCCGTCCCTAGATACCTCCTATTTTATATATTATGGTTACAAAAAAATGCTGCCATACCTTAATTACAAAAAAAATTTTCTACCAGGAACCAGCGTGCTCCCACTATCTTCCCTAAATAAGCTCCTGAGTATATTTGCAAATATGACTTTGATAAAAGTGTATTTTCAAAAAAGTTTTAATTTTCATCTCTTACATTAAAAGCCAATAATATGTATGAAATCAAAATTGAATATCGAATTTAAAAGAATAATTCTATTGCCAGTGTAATCTTATGTTCCCAAAACGTTAATTTTAGTAGTTTAATTAAAAATCGAAAAAAATTAAATTTAGCAACGATATTTTTATGTTACAGATGGAGGGGCTGGTTAGAGAAATGAAAGATGAAGAGACTGGGGTGCGTGTAAAAAGTCAAAAGTTATTCCTCACTTCAATCCCTTCCGCTTTTGCTGGTAAGTTATAATTTATTCAAATTTATTACTAAGAATAACTTTTTTTTATTTACACTAACATAATTCTAGTAAAATGTAAAAAGTTTCCGTTTTAATAATCGTATATATTACACGTAAATTGCATAAAGTAATGTAAAAAAAAAAGTAATCATTATTCTTACAGACAAATAATCAAACAAATTTTTGAAGTCTTACCTATGAAAAATAGGTTTGAAAAAACATAAATTTTACTTTTGTAGAAATTCCCTAGTGTATAACGCTCTACACATTGTCAATGTAACAGCATTAATAATCCAATAGTTGTCCAATATTGTTAAGATTTACCGTAACACTTAGAAAGCACGACCATAGTATAAAATACATAAAATTCTATTAAAAAAAACTCCATTTTTATTTTCAATAAATAGTCTATAAAAAGTAATTACTCAAAAAAAAAAAATCTGGACACAGCGATACCTCAAGTCACTCGTGCAAATAAAGAAGTTATTAAAAAAAAATTATATTAAATATAGCATAATAATACTCTGACTATTACAGTTTTTATGACTAGAATATACTTAATAACGGCGTTAGTACTCGATATTATGTAATCTGAATAAAATAAGAATTTACAAGCTTATTTTCTTGTAAAATTTTCAATGACAATAAGGTCGAAAATAAATTTTTAGATACTCATAAATGTTCCTTAACTCGATATTAAATTTGGTCTATTGATTATTGCAAATTGCATACATTAAGTTAGATTTAAAGAGACGTCATAATAAATTAAATCAACTGTACTTACAGTAAATCTATGACGACTTAAAAACACACAGATTTCATAGGGTAATAATTGTTTAAATAAAACGAGCAAACATAAAGACTTCATTTTGAACAGCCTTTGAACAATAACAGTTGTGTACAGATTATAGATAGATTGGTAGACCACTTTTCTAAGAGAACTTAATACATTAGATCTAATAATGAGTTTAATACATTAATTCCACACAAATAGATTTTAGTCGAATAAGAACGTCTATACCGAACGGATAAAATAAATAAATCCCATATTGATGGCTGTAGTGAGATAGGTTGAAGTGATATACATTCAGTACTTAATTTACTGCAGACTAGTATGAAAGTTTTTATTAACTACACCACTCACAATTCACTTGCCAACGGGCAAGTCATTATCAAGAGTAAGATATTTTTCGATAAATGTATACGATTATCATTTGCTTTAAATCCTTAAAAAAAACCTTTGTCCTGATATAAATATAGGATCAGATTATATTGAATATTTATCGTAAGTGTACTTGTTAAGTGACATATCATATGTTACTTAACAATTTCAATCAATCAATTTTATAAGACACCCTTAAATAAAATAAAATTGATAAAGGGACATAAATTATGCATTTTGCATGCAGTCGTCGAATGGTAGTTAACAGCAATCGATTTTAAGTTAAGATTATCTTTAAACTTTATGTTTGTCATTTTTAGACAATAATATTAAAAAACCATCTATTGAAACGTAGGAACTGCTATTGAATATTAATTTTACCTAACATATTATGAAAATAAAAGGCCATTATACAAAATTAAAAAATTAATTTTTAAAAAAGAAATTCCTATTCATCTGATATCACTAATACGAAATCCCGACTGTTTTTATTTAAATATTTTCAATTTTCCTTGTATAATTTATAACATACCTAGAAATTCTTTGTAATATTATACAAGAAAATCGATATAGTAAAGCCTGTATGATATTTTGATTACATGTTACGGGGCATGGCATGTTATGTATGTTGCTTTAGAAAATATGTTTAGAAGTTATGTCTTTTGAAATGATCAAGTTCTCCAAAATCACATTTTTTTATGTTTCCAACAAAATTTACTTAAATTATGTCAAGAGTTAAATTTTTTACGATTCTGTATTACAATTGACATTAAACTATAGAATAAAACTTTTTTTTAATTGCTCTGTAAAAGTTAAATTTTCTACCACCACATCAAATATCAAATTATCAAAATGAATTGAATCGTAAAATACGTGATAATCGAGTAAATTGTTACGTTGATTATGTAGACATTTAAAATTTATATTCATTTCTATTTAAGGGTTTGGTGTTTTTAGTAAAAAATCAATATCTACAGGCAACCCTAGGTTTAAATTCCCTCAGCGCGAATTTCACCGGCTAGAGCTACTTTATTGTGTTAAAACTTCTGCTCGTTGATTGGAAGTTATACATTACATTATTTACGGTTTACACGGTAGTACAACAAAACCCTAATTAAATGTTCTGCATTGACTCGTGCGTTAAAGTAACTATGAATTAATCTTTTCACTTACAAAATATTACGAGTATTAATTTTCAACTAACTTTCAAAGATACTAATCAACAATATTATATAAATTTCCTTTTTCTTTATTTTATAAATACGTCAATTGCTTGATTGAATAATTGTTTCTGCCCAAACCAAAAATACGTTTTTGGTTGAATTCTCTTATTCAATTCTATGTTAATAATATTTATATCTAATATTGACCAAATGATATATTATTTTACTAGTAATATACTAGTAATAATATGTGTGCGATACATAATAAATAACAACTGCGTGCCGAGAATAATTCAACGTTGCATTAGAGTAATTAATTATCGAATAGCAGAAATATCAGCAGCCGTAGAAATACAACACATAGACAATCGGGTCGTTTCATGACTTCTTTTTAGTAGATAATAATAATATTTTTGTTTTATAAGTTAACACGCTATACTTAAAAAATAGCTCAAACATCTAGTACAGTGGCGCCTTTATAGGATATAGGATTAAACCCTCCCTTATGACCCTTAACCTCCACGACTTTTGTTAATTTACGTGACTAGCAATAGAAATTATACTTCCAAAGATATTACACTCATATGTTTTATTTAATTTTTATTAATTTATGAGTAATCAATTCGTAAAAACTTGTAATCCAACTTAATTGACCAATAAATGTATTATATATTAATAATTCATAGGACAAACATTTTTTTGTCGATTTATCTATTTACTAAAATAATTGAGATTAAGTAAAAGCTACAAAATGTAATCAAATTTAAGCATCTATTCATAAGAGTTATACATTGTTTATTATATTTGTAGTTTTATTTTTATTTTTCTGAATATTTTCTTAGTTTAATCAACGTAATTTTGTGTAACATGTTGAAAACGAGCAGTTTAAAACACTGTAACCTTGGGCTATTAGCACTATAGTAGTTTCGTTAAGTTAAAAGCCCTTTGGTAAACTTTTAGGTTACTACCATAAAGTTTGAACCATTTTGTGGTTATCAGATATAAAATATCCGAGTAAGCTTATAGAGAATAATTTAGGCGGCAAGACTCTTCGCTAGTTTGTGAAATGCTATTTTTTATATGCTAATAAAAGATCTTTAATGCAATCTCACTACAGAATACCTAATATAATATAATAACTATCACCTTATCCTTATTTCAATTCAAAAATTTTCACATACTATTAAAGCTCTATGTCGCTCAACACAAATTTATAATTTTGTTACACTTTTATATTGAGTACATTTTAACGGTATACATAAATCGAATTAAGAAAATTAAAATATTAGAATAGTAAAAGCAACGATTTCCATATAATAGAATAGAACTCTTTATTTTTATTACATCTGTTGTTGTAAAGTTTTATCAGAATAATTGTGAACATATTTATTTTCAACGAAAATTGTGTTAGAACAAAACCTATAAATAACTGATTCATCGTTTAAAACTATAGTATTGATTTTGATAAGTTTTTTAGTAGCAATAAAATGTATTACTAAAAAACTATCTGACGAAAATTGTCAACAAAAATATTTCTTTTGTTTTTTAACACTTCATATTGCATTGTACACTTTTCTTTGTTTAATTTTCTATTAACATACTTTAGAATATGGCTCAATGATACTTATTTTTTCCCATTGCAGTATTAAATATGTAAAGCCTCGTAAAGTTAAAATTCTCCGCCAGATACGAGTTGTATTATTATGTAAAATTTATTGAATATTGATCATTTTAAACATACCACTCCTTATACAAGCTCATTAACCTAATTATATAAACTCTAATATTAAAATAATTATTTCTTATTTTGAGTTTCTAACATCGCAAAAATGAAATACATAACAATATGAAGATAAATTGAAAGTTTTCGTTAAAATATATATTTTAGTCAATTAAATCATATTAATCTGGTTAATTTTTACTTTGTTTCAGGATATAACATTATTGAATGGTTAATGGACCGCTTAACTGTCGACGAAACTGGTAAGAGAATAGTATTAAATTACTAGTATTTTTACAGTTTATTAAACACTATTTTGTGAAATACCTTATAATGATATGAAAACCTTCACAAGGTCGTTTAAATAAAAAAAGCACGCCATTAACATACTTAAAACATAATGTTTTAAGAATAACCATTAGATATTAAGTTTTTCTTTTTAGAGTAAATAGTTATACACAGAGAGGGCAAGTAAAAATTGGTTAATGATGTATGGGATTTTTTATTTAAAGTCTATTAATTCTTCTAAATAGAATTTATAATTTATATATTTTAGTGAAACGGTAAAATTTTTAAAGTAAATATTATCCAATTTTCATAAGTCGTAGAAATAAAGAAACGACTCTAAAAAAACAATAAATATTGTATTTACTGTGTTACAGAAAGAAATTTACAAAATATTTTTATATTATTTCGTTCTTTCTTAGTCAATTGTTTGATAAATATAAAATTTATTTTCATAAAATAGAAATAATCTGACTTAAAAAGTTTGGTATTATTCTAGACATTTTGAAAACGAAATATAAAATTTCTTGACATTTTGTTAGACTTTTATCTCTGTTTACAAACAGACTAGAAGACAAATAAGTAAATTTAAAAGTAAAATGAAAATATATAATAATTTTGAAAATAAACACTCAAAAGAAAAATACATAGATATTAAATTATGGGTTGTGTGCCAACAATAAGTGATACTTCTCTAACAATCAAAGAAAAAGTTTTTTTACCATTTCATTAATTTGACATTTTTGGTCTAGAATTTGAAACGTTTTGTACTATACAAATAGTTAAAAAAATACGAATGAGGATAATAAAATATGCTCTAAGGGTTTACATAATAAAACTTTAGAAAGTAGTCATCATCATGCCAACTTTACGTTCAACTAGCATTAAATAAGTACAATAAAATAAAAACTACGAAACAAATGTAAAAATAGACATCTATGTGTTGAGTATGAATAAGAAACGAATATAGAATAATAAAGATTGCAGAGTCGAATACTAATGTATATTTAAAAGGTAATGCCAAGTTCCAAAATAATAGTATAAAATAATCATTTAATTCTATGAAACACGAGTATAATAAATAAATAAGTATTAATTACAACAAAATAGGTAGTTTAAAAAAATAATTATCAATAGTTTACTTCACGAAAGGGGTAGTTAATTACTTGATACTTTATGAAATATTGATTCAGGTAGTTTTGAAAATCATATTTACGCTAATATAATTTCTTTTTTAGAAAATTGAATACGAAATAATTCATTAAAAAAAAATAATGTAGTTCATTTTAGATATCCACACCTAGAAGTTGTAGATAAAACACTGTCTTTTTTATAGCGAAAGATTAAAGCTGAAATGTTTTGTAAATTAATAACAACAATTTAACGTTGATATTTTTCAAGTATAAATATAATGATCCCTGTAATTTATAAAGGCTGTGCATAAAATAAATTAATGTGTTATGACACAGCCCCGACGTCCAAAATACCGAGTAAACATTATGACATTTACTAGGTATATTTATATAGCAACGTGCGATAATAGCAGTGTATGGTAATAAGTATATTAGCGTATATGGTCCATTAGCATAACTCGCCATTGTAATAACAATAATAATATTTAAAATGTATAGTTATATATATACATAACAAGGTAGATTCAGGAAAGAGCAATAGATTCAAAAAACAGAACAAGTTTAACATTAAAGATCTATGGAGTTTGCATATTCCCATGGTAACGTACGGCCTTCCGGCTGAGTGCGGTTAAAGAACTTACTTTTTAACGAGGTATATATGTATATATTATATAATAAACGATTAAAAAAAAATTCATAGGATGATAAAATTAACATCGAAAACTCCTATTTGATTATTTTTTTTTATTATGAAATGTGCTTTATAAAAATCGAGTTTATTTTTACAAATCATGAAATCTTGAAAAACTTAGTTGGTGATGTACTATGATGGTAGCATTAAGCTAACTTCTAAAAACTCTAAATCATCCAACTCGATGATTGTGACTCAGAAGTATATTACTCAATCTAATCTTGAGATTTTACAGTGAAATTCGCGAAAACGATTAATTTATTGCATACTTCTCTAAATCAAATAACGTCGTTGTCGAAACTCACCAAGAATACTACAACATTAAAATGCGTATCAGTGACTCTTTCAAGCAATAAATGATCTGAAACTGTTGGACAAACGGACCTTAGATAGTTTTTGGCAATACAATTTTCAAATTGGATTATTTTTATTATAATAGCTATCTTCTGCTGTAGAGTTTCTTAAACGTAGATCACTGACACGCAATAATAAATCGAATTACAACGGACATGCTTTGTCGTTAAATAATACATGTTTCATTAAATTATTCTGTTATGAAGCAAAGAAATAATATTAATGAGCTTTACTTAAAATAAACTTAAATATTCAGGGCAGTGTTTCTTTTATAAATCATTGATGTGGTAAATTTGTTTTTAGAAGCGGTCCATATAGCCAACATGTTATGCCAATATGGTTATTTCTTTCCAGTAAATGACTCTAAAAATCTAACTCTAAAAGATGACAGCTCTCTGTATAGATTTCAAGTAAGATATCAAACTAACCGAAACCTTTAAAATCAATATTTATTGATTTTTATCTTATTAAATGGTATAGATTCCATACTACTGGCCGTGTTCGCAAAAAAATCCTGACAACGTCGAATATGCTATTTATCTATCAAAGCGATTACTACGAAATAAACAACGTCATGCACTAGAAGATTACGAAATGGTAAATCATTATATTTTAATCATTTAACACAACCTTAACTTAATACCAACATTTTTTTTGTATTTGATTTTGTTTTACCGAATATTTATCTTACTCAAAATACGTGTTTTATAGGATTCTCTGAACAGTCTAAAAAAAAACCTACAAAATAAATGGGAGTTTATCACGATGCAATCTGAAGAACAGGTAAGATACATAAAATAGCGAATTCGATTAATGAAAACGATGAAAATTTACAAATACGATTTACACATACTATGCACGCTGTATTTTTAAGGTACGGTTGAGTAAAGATAGAAAAAAGGGTGAAAAAATTGTAACAGATAGCCAAGAAAGGGCTTTTTGGAGAGTACATCGACCTCCTCCTGGATGTGTTAGTGTTTTGGAACAAATACCAATTAAAATAGGCGGAAGCTTTTCGACGAAGAAAAAAAGAAGTTCAGAAGATCTTCGAAGAGAGGTAAAGTATCAAAACATTGTAATTGTTTAAATAATAATTTTACCATGATAGAGTTAAAAACCCTTTATGACAATCATTATGAGAGATAAGTCCTTATATCACAAAGCTTTGTTATTTGTAATTTTATATCATTATGTTATTATGGACTATTAGATATATATAAATGACTTTCTTTTTAGTAAGCTTAATTTAATATTTAATTTTTTTTTTAGAGTAACCCTATTGAATTACATACATAAAAATTTTAACCCACACTTAAAATTTAATGACACCAAAATTTTTCATATTAATTATGCTTTATATATGAATTATCATATATAAAGTTTTCAAAATATATAAGGAAAATTATATAAAAATGTCAATAGACCGGAATCTATCACACTAATCCCTTCCTATTTGACTGCCACTACCACTTTAAAAACCTTTGTTCGTGTCAGAGAGACCTAAATTGCCAAACAAAAAGAAATGAAGCCCACTACCTACACACATAGGTACGATGCCTTACCGACTGAGTTTAGGTCTTATTAAATGATGAGGAATGTATGAACATTACTACTTTTACTAATTCTTCTATTAGAACTCTCACAGATACAATTTCATAGCAGTAAGATTAAAGTCATTTAACCCAAATTATTTATTAGGTGGAACTTCTGAGAAATTGTATCGGAAGAACGCGAGTGAAAACATCTGTAGCTTTAGATGGATTGGTATCATTTAGTGAAACATATCACGAGTATGACCCTTTACTTACTGCAGCTCAGCCGTCAAACCCATGGGTGACAGATGATCCAACATTCTGGACTTTTAACTGTCCAATGTAATGTTTTAAAAAACTTATTATACGTTCCCTAGGCAGAATATTCAATTATTTTTGTCATTTACAGAGTCGACGCTATTACAGAAAAACGTATTAAGCGTTGGGCGTTGTCAATGGAAGACTTGGTATCTGATCTCACAGGTATAAACTTAATTTTAATGAAAAAAAATATCACCAATTATTTGTTTAAATTTCACTTACCTCTTTCAATGTTCCATATTCTTATTAGTTCAAAAATTATAACTATGGTTTCACTTTGTTACAGGTCTTCAAGAGTTCACAAATTATCTTCGAAAAGAATACAGTCACGAAAATATTAGATTTTGGTTAGCAGTTAATGATTTAAAACGCAGTTGCCAGTCGCAAATTCATCTAAAAGTCAAAGAAATTTACAAGTTAGTATAAAAAATACAACTGACCAGGAAAAATATCTAATGACATGTACATATTATAATATTTCAGTGAGTTTTTAGCTCCTGGGGCCCCTTGTGAAATAAATATCGACGGCAAGACTATGGAGAAAACACATAAAGAAATGAAGGGTCCATCGAGGTTTACATTTGATGCTGCAGCAGAACATGTTTATACCCTACTGTTGAAGAAAGACTGTTACCCTAGGTTTATTAGATCGGAACATTATAAGAACTTGCTAGCTAATGGAGTTCAACCATCTGCCAGAAGAAGGTAAAAATTATTTACAAAAACACATAAGGACTTAATGTTGTAAACTTCAATATTTTCGATAATATTTATCGATAATTCAATCACTTTTTTCAACACAATACATTTGAAATATAGCGTAATAAATAAAATATTTATTAATAATAATGATATTTTACAATAATTTTTCTTTGACTAAAATTATATAACAAATTTTTTTATTATGTAAGCTTTTTTAAATGAATGAAATGAAAGTCAAGTTTTTCAAATTAAATTTTTCTCCTTCGAGAATTTATCATATTCGTTTAAATCGAGAGAGGTAAAAGTCTATTTTGAAATTTCTGTCTTTGCAACTTATTTATTTATATTATGACATACAACACAAATATAGATGTATTTTAAATAGAAATAAAAGCAATTTTCTAACGCGTTTCTCTTTATATTCATAAACTTAATTTTAAATTCACAATGAAATATTGCTCAGCATTAAAGTACAAAAAATCTACCTATGAAGTATTCTTTACAAAGAATAATTTACATAAGTCTAAAAAAGTTTAGGATAGTACAGGAAATTGAATTAAAGTATATCGAAAAAAATGAGAATGTATTGATGTGAGCGCCAAAGAATAGCATAAAATAAATAATTTATAGAATACAGATCAAAGTCTAATGTAAAATAAAAAACTGCATAAATAGTTTGCGTTAGTAATGGTTTTTGTCATTATTTTCTTAAAACTTCAACAATCTAACAAAACATTTTAGATTCTTTGGATTCGTCGGCGGCGCAGCAAATAAAAAAGATTGTAAAGAACGCATAAAGCCTGGGTGCAGTACTAGTCTACAGGGTACTTCATCGTCAGCACTACAAGCAAACCAGTCGTCATCATGTGGAAGCGGACGTCGAAGAGGAAGCGACCGGAGTCTAACCAGTTCCCCACACGAACTTCCAATAAACGTTGTTAAAGTCTCACAATCCCACAGCCAATCGAACTTAAGTGATATTCCATATAGGTAAACACAAACAGTAATATAATATAAATTATCTGACTTCACTTTCATACTCTAATAGAAATAAAACACAATACAATAGAAAAAACTTACATATGTAAGATTTCTTTTTTAATATTGTTATTAAATATATTATTTCACTATCAAAATTTACATTTACAAATATATTTTTACTTTTTCACTACATAATAAAAAAAAAATTATTCGGGTCTTTAGACAATACGGAGTTAACTTAATAGCAATCAAGCTTTAGATATCTTAACAAAAATGCATAAAAATGATGCATTGTCATTTTTTTAATGTGAAGTTCTAATTAGAACATTAAGCTTTTATTAGAAAGGAAAATATCATGACATATAATGAAAAGTATACGGATCACACAGTGAACATGCGTACACGAATCATTCACAGTAGGATTGTTTAGAAGAAATGATATTCGCTTATAAATGTATGATATAAAAATAGCTAAACCTTCACCACTCAATAAAATGTAATATTTATGCACTAAAACACCTGTTAGAGTTTTAATATATTTATTCAATTACGTTATGTACATTCACCAATTAATATTTTGAACGCTTCAGACAATATAATAAAATATTTTACAGGGGAGATTTACCTTGCACACCTTCTTCTCCGAATTCTAACCAGTAAGTTAAAAACTGTCACCTGATATATACTTGAACGTAGTTACTTAATACTCTATTTAATTACTAACGATTGAGTACCTATAATGTTAACTAGTTGTTCCAAAATTAAGTTATATAAATAATTTTTTACTTAATTATATTTCTTAGTATGCAGTTTTTGTGTAGAAAAAATATTAGACTAATCAATTCGATAAATTCACCAAAATAATTTGCACGTTATATTTATTTTCATTGTATTATAGATAAATTGTTATTATTTTATGTTTACATACTGTATAGAAAAGCACTAATACGACACTAGTAGTTAGTAGATTAGTTTTATTTATTATCCTTATCCTAATAAGTAATATAATCTTCAACTACTACTAAATTATGTACGAGTACCCGTGTTTCATAATGGTAAAACATTAATGTAACACTGTTATTTAATTTTATGGGGTTATCAAGCTATTATGACTAATATAAAATTAACAACAATGATGAAATATTATATAAAATACATAATTTCTTTCTGGAATACATAATCCATAGCAGTTAAATGTCCAAAATCAATTACAAATTATAAAGTAATACATCGAAAGTAAAACAAATGTTGTATAGAAATAAATGATACAAATTTTGTATCATCAATTTATATTTAATATAACATACTTTCATTAATTATATGAGAAATTAAAAACTTTTTTTGCAATGACTCTAGCTGATTGAAAGAATAGTATTTTATGTAAAATCTATCAAATAATACATCAAAATTTTCCCCTCTGACATTATATCATAAACGATAAAACTAGAGAAATAATATTCTCTAATAAAAAAAAATTTTTTTAAGAAAATTCCATATCCATTTTTTTCGAAATAATAAATATTTTTCTACTAATTTTCTAGTTTTATCATAAATATTGAGTAAACGTCATGTATGTTTCATCCATTAAAATTATAGAATATAAATTTGTGTTTTTTGTTGGAGATCTTGAACTTTTTACTTTAGTAATCACTTTGCTGTGCTATTTGGTTCACATTAATGTCTTAAGTCGATTAATGTTTAAAAAAAATGTTACGATTACTTTAGAGAAAACCTTAGTAGCACGGAGGAGAGTGCAGGCGACAGACCAGGTGGAATCTGTCCGTGGGAAGGTTCAGAAAATGGAGGTAACGACAAGAAACGATCATTACCCAGTTCAATAGCCGAGGAAACGGACAGCCGATTATCGACATCGTCTTCGCGAAAAAATTCAACAAGCGGTGGAGGTGGCAATGCGTACGATTCAGCCAGTGCCGACGAAAGCGTATCCGACTCCGTGTCCAACAGGTTACGAAGGAGTTGTGGATTAGGCAGTAGTACCGTGTACAATCGTCGAGGTTCGTCGTCAACGTGCTGTACACCACAACAGACCATAGACAGGCCGTCCGTATCATCAGCTGAAGATTTGGATTTCGGACCGTCGCCCGAGAATAGATCACCAGAGAGACAGCATAGTATTGGACCGATTTCTCCGAAAAACGTATTTGCAGAACCGCAGTCGACGCTTCGTCACCAATCGTCCGCCGAATGTGCAAGTACAACTTCAACAGTATTGGACTCTAAGCCGAATCGGAAGAAACTCCTCAAATCACTGTCACTAGCACGGAAACAAAGCGTTACGCCAGTTATAAACGTAAGTTCAGTAGACAAGGACAATAAAGTTTTAACAGAAGAGTCTAAGGTCACTGAACCTGCTGAGACAGCGAGTGCATTTGTTTGTCAATCAGAAGACGAAGGTGCAAAGGCAGCTGTTTCCACTACGACTTCTAACGATGGAAATGATGTTTGTCCATGGGAAGATGAGTAAGTAATGTTGAAAAAAATATCAGTGATTACTAACAATAATAATTAATTTCCTTTTTTTTTTTTCGACTAACACGTTTTAAGGTTTGAATATAATATATATTAATTAATATAATATATATATATAATAATTCCACCCCGCCTACCAAAAAAAAAAAACCATAAATAATTTTTTCGATATTTCATTCTAAATCACATATGTTTTTTTTTTTTACATCACTGATTCCAGATTCACACAAACCCCATTGCAAATGAATACCAAAATTTGATTTAAAATTTTTTTAACTATCTTGAAGAAATTTTCTATTTAAACTTTTCAATGAAAATAAAATGTATGGAAATTCACAATCAAAGTTGGCAAATATCGTTCAGTAATTGTTCTATATGTAAATAAACAAAAAGCTCATAGCAGATAAAATTTGTCTTCCTGCAATACAAATCACATCCCCATTTGCGATGAAGTAGTTGTGTACACACTGCATACTATTTTATTGCTCTCGTTGGGGCACGCACATTTATCAAGTCAACTTCCTTTACCTGTCGATAATCCGATCCACATTTGTGACAATAGAAACCATATATCCGAATTATATCCGAGCAAACAATCTGATTAACCGAATGATTCCCTATTGAAATTATAAAATAGATACTTCTATTGAAACAGGACACTTCTCTGAGCAATTAAGATTAAGTAAAAAAAATTAATTCAAATATCTCAATGATCTCACAAATTAGATATATGTTCAATTATGATTAATTGAGATGTTTATGTAGCCAACATCTACATCGAATTAATTATGAGCTGTTTTAATGGCAACATCAGTAATTATTCAGTTATTTTACTATTTTATTTGGTGTTCGAAATCCCATTAAATTTAATCTACTTAGTCATAATTTGTAATTAAATAAAAATTAAATTAAGAATTCTGCTCCTACTTAATTAAATTATTTAGATAGAATGATTTCACCATGTGAAGTATATTTACTACGTTACTAATACCTCTTTTATGGAGTTAGTGAACACTACACCTACTAAAATAAAATAATAAAAAACTTCATAAAAGTTTCTTTATTTTCCCGTTCGAAATACCTTTTGGCATCTCAATTTAAAATTATTGAATTTCAACTTACAAGTAAGTTGAAAGTGTTAGTAAAAATTAAGTACTAAGTTATTATAGTTAAGACTAAAGTAAAACTTTCAAAGCTTTTTCTATTTAATGCCTACAAAACTTTCCAGAATGCATTATAAAAGCAACTAGATTAAATTAATCTTATAAAGTAATCTTTTAAAAGTTAAGAAAAAAATAAAGGCTTAATTATAATTCTATGGTTAGTTGTAGAAATACTTAATCGGTTAAACCTAAAATGATGTACTTAATATTAATCTAAGATGAAATCAATTACTTTTTGAAATTAATAAACTCTAAGAAAGCGACAATTTTATCTCATTTTAAATTACAAATTTATTTTATATTATTTTTTAGACAAAACCAAGACAAAGGCGGTCGATTTTTAAAGGTCTACGAAACATACGGATTTTTGTGAATCCATAACCATCTTGTCAAAACAAACCAACTGTAATTGTTTAAATTTGTAAAAAAAATTATTTTAAGAATATTTAGTATATAAGTTGATGATTACGCGACGTTCGCCAAATGGTTTATTTTTGGCTAACTTAAGTATTAATTTTGTTCATATTTTTTCGTATGAAACACAACTAAAATAATAAATATAAACATCAAATTGATGTATTCATTCAATAGATTTACAAAAGAAAATATGAATTTGTGTTTTATTGATTAAAAAAAAAAACTTTCATTGTATATTGGAATATATTCATAGAAAGCAATGGCGGAGTCAGGGTAATATTTTAGGGTTTAAACCCCACTGAAATGATATTTACAAAACTGGAGAGTTATCGGTTGCAATTTTCATGTCTCTTGCCATTCTGTCTTTTTTTTTTTTTAAATATAAATTGTAAAATAATAGCTTCTCTACTGCTTGTGAACGTTATGTAAATATGTTTTGATAATTTAAGGTGTCAAAAAAAAAAAAATTTGAAATATAGTATTCTTAAACGACATTTTATTAAGTTCGTTTATTGTATCTCATAATAGTCCAGTAAAACGAGTATATTATAAATAACTTAAGAATAACGATTAAATTAAAATGCAGTTTGTAAAATTTTATAAATCAATGTTAAAACTGTATAAATCAAACGATATATTTTGATATCTCTTTGATGTTATTATATTAATTTTTATAGGCAATAATACAACGAACGAAAACAGTTATTGTAATTTATTACACAAATATTTTACAATAGAGGTGGTGGTTATTTTTATTTCTCTCTCATTCCCATGTATATTTTAACATGCCAGGTTTTCATTCGGAACTTAATTGAGAAATCTGGTACAACAATATACGGGCATTTACAGCAGCAACTTAACACATATTCAATAGGATTTGTGGAAAACAAAATAAACAGTCAACAAAATACAATAACTACAATGTACTCGTCTACATACGTGCAAATACAGTAGAATTATTGAGGGAATTAATAACGTGAACGTGTTATTCAAGGCTGGTAGCAAATATATTTACTAAATGAATTTAAAATTAATAATCCAGTGATTTATGTATAGTCAGTAATGTATATAACAATACAAAATTTTCAAAAATAAAGTACAATAAAAATTCCATAAAAAAAAACCCAAAAGCACTCATAAATTTAAATTCTAAGAATTGCATGAAATTTAAATAATATTAATACATTAATCCAAAAAATACGTAAAAATATCTGAAAAACTAGCCACAGTTGTAACAGAGTTAGTCTGAGCCCCTACTCTTTTCAACTCTGATTAGTTTTTGAATAATTTGTCTGACTCACCAGAAACCCAATTAATCATTTGTTTTTTTTCGCTTAGTATATTATCGTTCTACTATTATTACATTATATATATATATACAATATTTAATTAATTACATGTAGTTATGTACTATTAAAATAATTATGCTATTATTATATTATACGAATTGATAATTAATATTTAATATTAAAAATTGTTGTGAAAAAAATTATGATAAGTCTATCATTAGTTATTTAATAATTGTATTAGTATAACAACGTTCCACGACTCTAATTAGAGAATAAATGCCAGTTTTAAACGAATCAATAAGTTTACTAAACAGTATAAAGAAAATTATCAATATTAAATAAAAAATTATTCGTTAATAACTTCAACGAAGAATTTTTAAAATTTGAGAAGTAACAGTTTATATTGTAACTAAAATAAAACGAAACATTAAAATATCTGTTAATTTAAAGTTTTCAATAAAATAAATTCCTATAATGAGGAACTTAACATTTAATTCAGTAAAAACAACCTTCATTTAACTGAACTATCAAATGAGAAATTTAATGTGTATTTATTCATAGTTTTGAAATTTTATTAGAACAAAATAATTTATTGATAAATTTATAACACTATTTTAATGTTTACCTTAGATTAGACACGCTTAGATGGTACAACTATTTAATCACATTGAGTGTTTGCAATGATATTTTATGATCGTTAGATATTTATAGATCTTAATATTTTTAAATAATTAAGTCGCCAACTATAAACTCTTTTAAATATTTTTAGCTAATTTTTATCAATAAACATTTATTTTGTTTATTCTGGTTTGTCAGACAACCGTACTAAATTTGGTTTCTATGTAAATAGTCTATTTTTTATATTACACAGTAAATATTTGCTACCGTTTTTGGAATGGAATAATTGCATTAGTAGCGAGAACAAATATATTACAAATAATAATAACTTTAACATATAACTATATGAATATTTTCTATTACATGGTTTAACGTTTTACTTTTAGCGTTCAGTTAATTTAATAATAATTATTGTATATTGTTTTAAATGGTAAATTTATAAATTGTGATAAATTGTTCATAAATGTTTTTAAATTTTTTTTTATAGGTTGTAGTTATAAGATATTCATTAAGCAGTGAAATTATGTTTAAATATATGATAATATTAAGGAAGAAATTAAATTTAATATCGTTTTTAACTTGGTATATATGAAAATATATTACAACTAATATCACTAAAGCTCAAGAGCGTCCAGAAAATGAATTAAGAGAAAAACATTAAATTAACAATCCTTCACAACATATGTTTGCAAATAATTTAGTACCAAAGTAAACATTTTTTTTATCCAGAAATTCGTAATAAATATTACAGTATTAACAAATATTTTAATTAAAAAAAAAACATTTCAAATTTCTATGTCATTACTCTAGTGTACCTTAATAAGATTCAATATTATAAATAAAAATGTAAATGAAATAAAAAATTAATATCGAAATACCAAAAAAAAAAAAACTACCATGTAAAAACTAAATCTATAGAGAACATTCAGAAATATAATCCAAAGAGAGTATACCCTAGACATTCTTGCCCAAGCTATAGATACATTAAATTTAAATTGTTTATTGTATGTGTATATTCTAAAACATAATGTTAGCCAATATTATTATGCACATAAATTACTTATTTGTTTATAATATATTTTAGTTATAGAAGTGATAAAAAATAGATCTATGTACTTGTGTCGTCTTAAGTGTAACGATTGATGATCAAAAATTTATAACGGCATATTTTAACACGATTAATAGTTTTGACTAGTTAATCTAGATTTGGATTAAGTCATATTTTATTCTAGATTTAACTTTACGATAATGTTGAATCAAATTAATGCGATTATAATTGTTATAACCAATACTACTATTGGTTATAATGAATAGTTTTTAGATATATTTATATTGTACTACGTAAAGAATATGATTCTAATATACATGTATGCATATATAATTGATGTTGAATAAATAGATAAATACAAAATAATATTTTTTACTTATTACTGTGTAAATTACTGACAAATTAATAAAATAAAAGTATATCTTAGGAGGGATACATTTTTAAGTGCAGATGACTTTCCATTGTAAACTCATAAGACATATTTGCAGTTTTAATGTTAAATACGTTTTCTCTATAATATGCATTAATATAATTAGCTTTGAACGAGATAACTAAATTCAAATTTTTGTTTATAGTTGATTGAGGATGTTGGAATAAAATTACCATCGCAAAGATTAAATAACTATACTTAAAAAATTTGGCTTTAAAAATAATCATAACGAAATAATCAAATACTTTCGGGCGTTGTGAGTAGGTAAAATTAATGCATAAATGAATTGAAAAATATTGCCTACACGCGCATTTAAGTGTAGAAAACTCTATTTTTATTTAACTTTCGACTAATAAAAAATTGTACACGGAAATTCGATAGAAACTGTACACTTTTTTTAACTTGATCTGATCGAAACGGATCATTATCCCATCACTATAAACAAAGACGAGAATTTAAAAATTTCAATTGACCATTATTACATCATAAAATGTCCAATACAAATCAAAGTCAATAAAAAATCAACACAATACATTTACAACGCTATTAAGTGTTTTATTATGTATAAGTAGCTATAATCGTGTCGTTTTTCCATTAACTGTCGAAAAACTTATAAGTTAATGTTATAACATCCATAAATCAAAAGTTCGCTAATGTGGTTATTGTCAAAAAGTCATACTAACGTCAACCCTAAAATACAAGTTATACTTCGACAGTAATTACCCAAATTATATATGCACTAAACTGCATTTCTTAATAATTATACAAAAGGAAAGAAAATAAGAATAATTTATACGATGAAATTATAAGTTGAAATTTAGGATCAATCTATTTACATCCTAATAAATAAATAAATCAAACACATTAAAACCTCTATTTTTCTTTTAATTTGATCATTATTTTACATGAGATAATTTTTAGCTCCGATGCGAAGCTGAGAAGGTATTTATTTTACTTATCGACTAATAATATTTATATCAATCAATAATTTATAAATAATTAATTAATAAATAATAAATAAATAATTTTAGTTACATGTTTAGGAAATTTATAAAGGCGATTATCCATAAGAAATAATTTTACTTCTCATTAAATCAAAAATGTATTATTAAAGTGTTTCATTAAAAGGGATTGAACCTATATCTTCCACACTGGGTTTGTCCATACAATTGTATATTAATGGTCTAAAAAATAACATACTAAGTCAATGTTCACGTTGGTTTAATTTAATAGTATACTTGCTGTCTATATATTTATTAATTAATATAAACTATTCAATTTAGGCAGATTTTTAACTCTACAAAAAATAAATAAATTCCATCCTTCGGTGGCATAATGGGGCTTTAATACAGGAGTGTAAATGTAAGAAAAATTTTTATTAACTCAAAAACCACGAAAAATAATGTATCTTTGTCATGTCAATATTTTTATTCTTGAGAGATCTATACGCCTATTGCCCTATTGATTCCGCCCTAAATAACATAGAATTACTTTAATTTTAGGAACTAGATACATGGAGTGTGCATTATATACACTTCATATTTTCCAAAATATTAGCATATTCATTTCTTTCATTGGAGTCAATAATAATATGTGATCGTTTTTTAATTGAATCAATTATAAATTAAAAAAAAACTATTATAGATATATAAAATTGATTGAACTTCAATTGCAATGGTTCATAATACACTGAGTAATTTTTAAAAATAATGTTAACCTGTCTCGATTATACCTCACTATGAAATAATAGTGTATTTTAGATGATAATGATTTTACTAAAAATTACATAACATTTCATTATAATAAAAAAATAAAATGAAGAAAACATTACTTAATATATATATATATATAATACTCGATCGTAGTAGAATAATAATATGACATAATATAATGAATACAGAGTATGTTAAAATATATAAAATTAAAACTATTATTAACAGGATTGCCTAATCACAGTATTTAACACTAATAATTTCAATAAATATAACACTTTATCTGATAACTTAATAATTAAGTAATTATTAAAGTAATTACAATGCTTACCAAATAACTGAAAAAAAAAATTCTGTATTTTTTTTAATACTTAAAATATTTTTATGTAATAAGCTCAACATTTAGACACTAAATACTGGGTTTTTCGCAAACAAATAAATGCAGTATTTTAAACGTCTCCAGTATACACATTACAAGAGTGAAAACTAGATAGCGCGATTACTTTACCAATAAACGAATAATTGTTTATCGATTTTAGAAAGATAATAAATTTCTATTTCTTATCAATATCTAAATATTGATATCAGCTTGTTTAAATTTTTTAACAATTATTTATTGCAGTGTCGGTATATCCATATCTATTACACCACCGGCCATAGTGATAACAACTACGCCAACGCAGGGAATTTTTCATAGTTATCACGGTAGTCGGTGATATAGTAGATGTTTGACTGGTCAGTAATAAGAACACTAAATATTTTTTTTTACGTAAGTAATTTCGAATCAAAAATTTTCACTTTAAAGGCTTCACTATGTTAAAATTGGAAATGTAAATTGAAAATACTAAAATTTTGATATCGTGCCAATTTCTAGTTTCATTTTATTAAACAATATGAGTCAAAAACATCTTAAAAGTAAATTTGTTAGGCAATTTTTATGTGCTACACATGTTTCAACAATAGATTTTGATGTAAGAGGTTTCATTTATGATTAAATATGAAGAATACATTAACTTTATTAATTTTGTGTTATTAGGAGTTATGTGAAAGCGATGTGAGTCTTATACTGGACTTATTATCTCATGAAATATTACAAAAGTATCCGTTGAAAGTGTCGTATTTGGCCAAGTTTTTGAAACAGTTAATAAATCAAGTATTTTCAAAATTAAAAAAAAAAATTTTTTTTTCGAAATATAATTGCATTATATGTACATATAGTTTTTTTTATTTGGTTGTGGGGGTGGTTAACTAATATTTATATTCATAGATGGAAAAAAAAGAAAATGAACTATGTGATGAAATTTACTACAAATATATTGAATTAATACAGCAAGACATTAATAATGGCCCATTTTACAAACACTATGCTTTTATTATAAATGAAACTAATGAAGTCCAATCAATTTTAACTATTAAAGAAAGTACAAGTTTTGTGTGTAATGGAACAACTGGTCTATGTACATGGCAAGTTAGTTTTAAAGAAATAATCAGCTTATTTTACATAATACAAAGTGATTAATTTATCATTGACTATTAGATTTTTTATAAAAGAACAATTATTTTGACAATTTTTTTTAGTATATTTAAATATTATTTATATCTTGATTTTTAAGTGGTTAAATACATTTGATGTCCATCCCCTGTCCCTTATAAAGATACTAATTTAATTTTTTTTAAATAAAAAAATAACATGCATACTTAATTAGCTCATATAATTAAAAAAAAAATCAAAATTCTTCTTCTTCTTTTTTTTTGCTTTAATTCCAAAAACTTGGGGTCAGCTACACTTATTCTAAACTTCCACAGAACATGATCTCCCATATCATCTATGCTCACATCAGTCGTCCTCATATTGCATTCAATCTAATGAAGAAAGTTACTGATAGATAATAATTTTTGAACCAGTAATTCAGGAATTATGAATTTTTTTATACGTGGATGAAAAGAATAACTTATACATTACTTCCAGTCGACATTTAAAAATTTTAATAACTTCCATAATAGTTAAATTAGAGATAAAATGAAAATTACTTTCATCAAAATATTACATTGTAATAATGAAATTGAAATATGTTAAACATATTTGATTATATGTATGTTCTTAAATAAAAAATAATATTTTCCATCTAAATTATTATAAAATATCTTATTTTCCCCCAAATGATTTAAAAATTATAATTACCAAAATTATGAATTCAATCAATTAATAAATTTTTTTTTTCTTCTAAAGGTCTTGCCTTGTCATTTTACCAATGGTATATTCTGGGGAAATTAAGTGCAGTGGTTTCCCGTTGACTTCTGCACTGGGAACATGGTGCTTCTTAGCTACCGTAGAAGCGCACGCATAGTCACCCATCCGTTCACCTACAGTGGAAGGCGCGACTTAACACTAGAGTTTTGTCAACAACTAGTGTGACCACCGCACCACACCACGCCCAATTAATAATTTAGATTACATATAAAAAATTTTCTGAATTAAAGTTAAGCTAATTATTTAAAATAAATAAATTAAGTTTTTAATTTAACTCGCATATATTTAAGTAACAAAAGCTTACTTAAAGTTAGTTTGCTAAACCAAACCACTAAAAAATATTTTAATAAGTATAATTAATATTTTAAATGTTATTTGTTACATTTATATTGGAGACTATTACAATAAAACTCATAAATTATGAAATGAATAATATTCAACACTATTTCAATAATTTGTATTAAAGTAAAGTAAATATAAATGAAAGGGCTAATTTTAGATTAATATCATAATAAATGTATATTCTAGATAAAAAATCGTATAATTATCTCTAGTTGTTCCAGTTTACCCTAATGCTATTAAATTTTAACTGTAAATGGATTATAATTTTATTTCATGAAAATGAATACACATTTCAAAAAATTAAATATTATTTTTTTAAAATACTTTTATCAACATTAATTATATTAAATTAAGTAATTAAAGTAAAATTGCGACATTTTGGGTAAAATTTAAAAAAAGTCATATTTTATTGAATTATTTTTTACTTAAACTACATAAGATTTGTGATTAAATGGTATTAATTATATCTTTCTAGATCTGTTATATAGTAAGTTTGGCTATTCAAACCTCAAGGAGTGTTTTGCCCCACATTTCTTAATTTGTTCAAAATTTATTATCAACCAATTTTTTTTTTTTTTTTTGTTAGATATTTTTTAATATACAAGTAAATTAAGTATGCATTTTGTCATTTAAAAGAATAAAGTTGGAACCTTTATGTGGGATAATAATTAGACCAAAATATATTTAACCACTTATAAATCTTAAAAATAATAAATACTAAATAAAATCATAAATATTATTATTTTAGTAGAAATTTTGTGGTCAAATCACTAATAAATTAATCACTCTCTATTTTTCTATTATAGTTTAAAAATATCATAATTCTTTAGGCAGGTATTGCAATGGCTTTTTGGTTTATAAAAAATACAGAAAAAATTGATGGCCGATTTGTATTAGAATTAGGATGTGGAACAGGTTTAAGTGGGTTAAGTGCCTGTGTAAACTGCAAACCAAGAGAATATTGGTTCACTGATTGTCATTTGGCAGTGTTAGAATCTTTAAAACATAACATTGAAGTGAATGTGACACGTAATAAAATTGGTTGTATTATAAAAACTATGCAACTTTCTTGGGACAATATAAATGATGGTTTATTCCTTGAAAATATACCAGATGTGATATTAGCAGCAGGTAAATTTTTGTTAGTAATATAAGTCAAAAACACTTTTTTTAAAATATTAATTTTTATAGATGTAGTATATGATGTTGAGATGTTCGATTCATTATGCCAGACATTAAAATGGTTTTTATCAAATGGCACAGTTGAAGTATATTTATTTTGCACTTTAAGAAATCATAGTACTTATAGAAAATTTCTTGAGACTCTAAGTAAGATCTTAAATCAATTTGTGGTATATTTATATTATAATAATAATTATGAAATTATTATAATTTCACTTTAACTAATCCGTTGCTCAAAAACAAATACAGTTCTTATGTACACATCATACATTTTGACCTTAAACTTATTTAAACTGAAGTTTATATAATAAACTTAGTTTATTGTAATGTTTAAAGTTATCATCAGGTTACAAGTATATAAAATATTCTAAAACTCATTAGAGCAAAACTATAACATTAAATGAATCACCATAACGGTAATATATATATATATATATAAGTCATAGATAATAAATATTTGAAAGGTTTAGTGCAATAATATTACCTATTAATAGCTTTTAACTGAAACTAGTAGTTACCATTTCATGTTATCATACTCCAGGTTGAATTTTATTTTTAATTCATTGTTATATTTTAATAAATAATATTTTCATATTTTGTTATTATTTTATATAATATATATATATAATTATTTGGAGACAATGACAACTGTTTCATACTTTATAATAAGAAGTAATTTAATTATCATTAAGATAAGTTATATCAAATACATTTTTTTAATAAAAAATGTGAGCAGTCTGCATCATCACTACAACAAATGATTTAGAATTTTCTTTCACTAAAAAATTAAGAAAATTTTAAATAATTAAAATTTTAGTAAAATAAATTTCCTATCATGCCTACCATTGTAAAAAAATTAAATGGGCCCCCTAAAATAAGTTGTATTTATCATCCTGGATACATGTTACTAACCAAATTCAAATACAAATTCATTGGTAAAAAAATACTAAGTAATGTTAGTAAATCAAATATAAAATTTCTAAAAATTTTCACCTATAAAATAATAATGTCAAAAGTTGTCTGATGGCCCTTTAATAAAAACTTTTTTTAATTTTTATACATTAATATATGGTTCTAGATTTTCAGAATGAAATAATCATAAAAAAAAAAAATTCTTATGAATAAAACTATTTTCATATTTCTTGTATTATTGTAATATAATAGTTAATTTAAAATGTAAAACTGTATGAATTAATGAAATAATAAAAATAGTTACTTAAATGTTGTTATGTGAAATAAAAAAATTATAACTTATTAAATTAAAAAACATACGACTTCTAAAACCTATAAATTAGTTAGTTAAATTGGAAATTTTCTCAATATATTTAAAGCATAACTGACTTTTCCATAATTATAATAAATAATATATGTATTATGTATTATATGTATTATGTATAATATATGCGCCATGTATTGATGAAGGTACTGGGGGATTTAATTCTTTTATGCAAGGCTGTGTAGGTTTGCATGGACCGCCCTAAAGTAATGCCTAATGGCAGTTCCAGGGCGGCCCACAACAGTACCAATCGTGAAAAAAAAAAGACTATGTAGGTTTTCCAGTTTTCTCTGGTACAATCAATAGTATTTAGAGAAGACATGATTGTTAATATAATTTATGAATAATATATTTTTTATTTCAGAATGTTTTCACCTGAATTTTAATCAAGATACTATAGCTAATAATTATTCAGATTTACTTATACAAGATTGTCCAATTAATGTAATTAATATAAAATCAAATGCAACATAATGAAAAATTTTGTCTATATTTTTCTATGTTAGGAATTTACCAAAATTGTATAAAATATATTAAAATAAAAAAATTATTTTTTAGCTGGATCATTTTTTGATTTGATTTTTGAATGATATTGCCTTAGTTCTTCAACATCGATACCTCTTTCATTCATAGCACTCTGCAAACACATTAAGTTTTTAATGATTTTTTACAATTTATTTCTATAATGTACATATCTTAAAATAAAAAATGCAGTAGAATATGATCTAATGTAAAACCCATAGTATATCTATACCATAGTAAATGGCAATATGACCAAAATACCTTAACACAATGAGTATAGTTTTTTAAGAGTCTCGAACAAACTAAATCATCATTACTTCCTTTTAGATATTTGTCTTTGAACCAACCCTTAAAACATTTTTCATAATCCTCTCTAAGTGTATTACACTCTTCCATAAGACTTGAGGCATCCCTATAATGTTATAATTAATAATATAAATTACGTTATGAATAATTTTACCTTTAAGCATTTTAAGTATTGATTAAATGGTTTGTCACAAATTTCTGAATCGAAAATTTCTGGTTTAGATTGATATGCGTCAGAATTCAAAAATCGGTAACAGGCTTTTAATGTAATATAATAACCGCGACATTCATTGTTAATTGAAGACATTGTATTTTAATTTAAACCAATTTTAAAATTTTAAATCGCACTATGATTTAAAAATCAACAGAAAGCACTGTATAAAAAAACTAAAACAATTTATTAAGACTCGATTTTTGAATCGTCTCATACTAAAATTTCAACTTAAATAATCAATAATTCATATATACAACTGAATCATCGTTATCATAAACGATTTTAATCGAAACTCATTAGCGTCCAAGTATTTAGTGACTATTGAACTCTACACTTTTTTGTTGTTTAACATTAGAAACACGTTCTAAACATACGATCATGCTCTTGATTGATACTTCAAAAAGAAATGAGAACGAAAACATATGAAAAACATTTCTACGTAATTCGTTGACAATAAAATGATCTTAGGTTTACCTGTTCGATAGAACGAACCTACACATTTTTTACCTACTGTGACTAATCATACGAAATATAAACATAAAAATGTAATATTTTTAAAACTAGATATCAAGATTTTTTTATTTCAATTCTTAAATTTCAGTAAAATCAGCAATAGTTTTAAATATGATAGTTTGGCATAAATTCCCATATGATTTTTTCAATATTCACTTTTAACCGATTTGTTGGTTTACACTGATTACGAATATACAAAAAAAAATGTCAGTCAAAATTAGTTTAAAAGTTATATCACCATATTGATCAATTTGAACACTTTTCCATTATAAATCGTTGATAAAAACTACTTTAGGAAAACTATTATGGAGTGTTCATGGTCCGATAAAAGATTGATATGCAAACATTAAACTTTTTAACTATTTTTGATCGACATTTAATTTTTGCACATTCATAAAAAACAAATCGATTAATAAAATCGCGTGTAGCTAAATTGTATTTCTTCCAATAGTTAACAATACATATTTCAGCTTTAATTTAAACAAATTATATAAACTTCAAATATGGAAGGGAAATGTTGTTCAACGATCCCTTTCATTGGTAATAAACTGCTTCTTATTTTTAATATAACATTTTTCATAAATTTTAGTTCTAATATAACAGTGACGTATTTATAGTAAGATATAGAAGCACGTGTCTCCCCTTTGGCCAAGTTATGCTGATATGAAAACGTTAGTTGACATTTATACATATATATACATTTAATTTACTTAAAATGAGCGAACAATTGCAAAAAATTTCATGGTAGCGTGTTAATTGAGAAAATAATTAATAAGTCTCTGTAAAATAATTACCAACATTAATGTTTAATAACCATAATCTTTTCAATTATACTTTTATGAAATAATAATGGACAAATTTTGAGTTAACATTCAACATGTTGAGGTTCAGTATTTTTTATCTGTGTGGTTTACTTATGTACAAAATTACGTAGAAAGTCTATAAATTAAATAATTGAAACTTCAAACAAAATAATACACAAGTTTCAAGTTCTTTTATGGATAAAAAACATTTGTACGATTGTAATAGTTTAACGACTCGTACATAAAATTACTGAATGTGTAAAAAATTTTTTTTTAGGTTTTACGGGTTACTAAAAACATGCTAAAAAAACAGTTTAAAACGTCTCATAAGACAAATGTAAATTTTGATATTTTTAAGTTTTAAACACGTAACAATGCTAGGTTTTTTTTTATAAGAAAACAAGTATTCTTATTTGATATTTTTTGAAATTAGTGGTGTCATTAAATTTTTTTCGGTAGAAAGTAGTATTACAAGAAAATTTTTTCCTACAATTTGAAACACAATATTATTGTATTATAAACGCATAATTATTAAGTCTGGGAGAAATTAACTCCTATATTTTTCATAATTACGCAAGTTATAAAAGTTTTGAAACAAAACAATGCGAATACTGTGTTACAAGTGTACAGGATTATATATGGTACAAATGGTTCAAAGTTATAATAAATTAAGAAGTGTCGTAAGAGACTATAGGTATCCATTGATTTCAAATATTTATGCTGGAGGACGCAGAAGGACGAAGCACCCACAAAATAAACCCATTATTATACCACTGATTAAAAATTTGTAAATGCCATGATGACAAAAAGTAAATTAAAAATAAAACATAAATAATAGTTTTGATTGACTCTAATTTTTTATATCGATCCGGTATATCTATTAAAAAGTTTTTAATTCGTAAAGGAATTTTAACATTATTGATATAAGTTCATTATTTAAATAGTAATAAAAATCCAATTCCAAATCGAATTTTATAATTCCTTACATAAATACGTGAAAAAATAATTAAGATTCTATAACTAAAATTGCTACATTAAAAATACAAACTTACCCAATTTTTAATTTAACCAAAACCAATCGTCATGAGTTGACCATAGTCTGGAATAATACAATGCTTTTAAATTATTTTGATGAAACACAAGATAAAAAAATAATTGTTATGAATGAATTACGATATGAAATAGGTAACAAGTAAAGTTTGAATTGACTAATATGATCTGAAGTTGATTGATAAGGCCATACTGATTAGGGTTAATGAAAATTTTAAAGATTAAAGCTAGGAAAATTAAAATGATAGAACGTTTGTTTTCGCAATTAACTTTTTAACACTGTGAATAATATAACACAAACAAACGTAAACAGATAAACTTTTTTTTTTGATGTTATTTATAAAACTTGAAAGCTTCTAATGAAATGTTTTATTTTTTTTTTAAATGTATGAATATTTGCAATTATCACTCTTGCACAGAAATAAGAAAACAAAAGATTATTGATAATGTTGTTAGCACTGTTGCTTATAACAACATAACCTATAAACTATATTACTGATAGTAACCAACTTAAACAATTTTTGTTTTAAGATTAATAAGAAACTGTACATTTTATAATATCTGAAGAAATTTAGTTTTAGCTGTAGTGATTTCTCAACATTCCAGTTAAAAATCAAAACTATTTTGTTGCTATTTGTAGTATTACAGTAACGACTCTTAACAAAGTAAATACTTATATATTACTTATGTTACAATTTAACCAAACTTAAATTAAATTAACATTCATTTTTATATTTCATTAGATCTGCTAAAACCATAATGGCTACTCCTACTAGTGGTAATGGTAATTTAGTAGACGAATTCGATGAAGCATTTATGTCACTTCTTGAAATTATATCTAAAGAGGATGAGACATTCACACCAGTAGACAAAGAAGAAGTACGAGTTGACATTGATCAATGTACTATACGATTCATAGATATAGCTCGTCAATTAGAAGCTTTCTTTTTACAAAAAAGATTTTTGCTTTCTGCTTTGAAGCCTGAAATGATAATAAAAGAAGAAATTTCTGAGTTACGGCTAGAATTAGCACGAAAAGATGATCTTATTCGACGACATTATGAAAAAATTTCAGTTTGGCAAAATTTATTAGCTGACTTACAACAAGTTGCTAAATCACCTGCTCAAAATACAATGGGTCAAAGTCCAATGTCTGCTCCTATGCCTTCACCACTCTCAGGTCCAATGTCGGGACCACAACAACAATCGCCACAAGTACCTGGTGGAATGGTATCACCCCAACAAGCTATGTTTATGCAACAGCAGCAACAAAGAGCTGGTCCAGTTGCTGGTGGGCCTATGCCAGGAGCAATGTTACAAGGGCCATTGGCATATTTAGAAAAGACAACTAGCAATATAGGTATAGGTGATGGGCGAAGGTGACGTGGTCGGGGACGAGGAAGAGGACGCGGTAGGGCCCATCTTAGTCCCCCTTGACCACAGGCATTGGCATATTGATATTATTGCTAAATAGCCAACTAAATCTATTTATAATCCTACCATTATAGGCGTTATAAAATTCTTGTACATAATGTAAAATTTTATTGTTTATACTTGTGTATATTTTAGCTATTGTACATTGCTTAAGTAATATATATTATAAATAACACATTTTTATCATTAAATAAATTTATTATACTTGTAATTATTGTACACAAAATTATCTTTTTGTTGTATACAGGCTGGTTATTATTATGGCACTATTGTTTAAAATAAAGACCATTATAAAGAGAACTAATTTGTATTTCTTAAAATGTTTACAAATGGCAATTTTCCATAAGTGGTAACCCGTGTTTATTATGTAGTATACATTTGAAATTTTTAAAAAAAACATTTTATTTATTACATATAATAATAATTTTTAAGTATTATAACTTTTTCTTAATAAACGATAAAATAACACTTAAAAATTTAATGTAGCAACACATTAACATTAAACTTTGAGAAGAAAGTTATGGGTAACCCATTAACAGACACTTACAAATAATACCACTAACTGCAAATTGGCCAAATAATAAATTAAATGGCAATCAGACCATAATTCAGTCTACAAATAAACATTTTTAGTACACTTTAAATAAATTAAGTATAGATAAACAACAACGACAATTAATCAAAACATCAGACATTTCAAAATTTTGTGAGAGTAAAATAATAAATAAATATGTAAGTAATACTTGAACTCATGATTTATACAAAATAAAAATTTTGTAGCACCTTTAAAACAATAATCATTCTTAAAATTGTTTGTTTCTTTTTCATAACAATGGTTTATGCCATAATTTTTCTATCTATAAATATGGTATAACTTAGCAAAATATATTAGTTCTTATTAATAATAAAAATAATAAAGATAGTGCATTTTAAACAAAACAACATCATATATCATATCAGCGCTACAATTTAAAAAAAAAGGCAGTCATTAAAATAAGTGACATTAAAAAACACTATAATATGTATTCCTATACAACTTAACAGCATTTAAATATCTTAAGATCTATATAAAATAAAAATTTAGGAAATGAAAGTGATAGGACAATTATAAATGAAAAGGCACTTGTCAAAAGCAATACTTTGTTTGGGGCGATTGCTGATCACCCTCAAACGTTTCTCATCCTCCAGTACCCGGGGTCCACCTATCAAATTCTATGCCACTATCAGGGCTTTGTACGGCCGTTGACAATGGACTTAAGTAGCTGGACGCAGATGATGCTGGTGTACTGGTTATTTGTTTTGGCTGAGTTCTTGCATCAAGTAACTGTTTTTCAAAGGAGTGTAGCTGCTGCATAAAATGGAAGTTTGGATCTATGTTGGTTTTTCGTTTCAAGACCATATTATATGCCTCATTCAAAGTAAGCTGCCGATGAGCCATCAGATACGCTAGCATGACAGTAACTGAACGTGATATGCCAGCAAGACAGTGCACAAGAACACCTTTCTGTTGTGATCGACCGTTATCTAAAAAAATTGATTTGACTATATAATACACAATCTAAATGAATACAATACTAAATGTATGGATAAAAGTAATTCTTTGACACTACTTAAATTATTGAAAATTTATAAATTTTAACTTTATATTTATTTTTCTAGTTAAAACTATTTTAAAGGACGTCATAGAGAATCAAATAATGTATACTTCGTATGCTGCTGATACCGTATATCACATTAAAATATTCATAGAACAACATCTTTATAGGTTATTTTTTTTATATTATTTTAGTTTGCGTTTGATTTCAAAGGAACGACTAATCCGAATTTGAACCCTGGAGAAGAAAACGCGAAATAATTATTAACAACAGTAAACTGTAGTCGTTTTTGAAATATATACGATGCGCGTTTATGCGTTATTGAAGAAATCATTTTTTTTCTGCTATTCCAAGGTCTTNTGTTGTTGAAGAAATCATTTTATTTCTGCTATTCCAAGGTCTTCTAAACGTATATACGCCTTTAGCCCACATTAGTGAATATTATAATTATAATTGTTGAAAATGTTTTAGTATGTACACGTTTCCGTTTATTTTACGTGAAGTACACTTATGTTTGTGCACACTACAAACAGCTTCTGTTTGTTTTCGCTCATAATTTCCGCTGAGCATTTTATTACTTTATTTCAAAATGTTTTCTTTCACTCAGAAAATAGATATACTAAGAGGATAAAAAAAACATACACACATTCAATCAAATATACTTTCGAGACTTCCCGTGTTGTTATTCTTCATCTCATTTTTCCTAATCGTTAGTCGTTGTTAACGCTCATCATTAAACATCACATATTTTTCCCACGATTTTTAAACGACATTCGTCGTCATCAGCACTTACTTTTTAAGCAGACAAAAAGTTTCAAAGAATGTTTTCAAAAAAATTGCCCGAATTCGAAGAATTCTATCTCCCGAACAACGTCATAACAAATTTCAATAATATGAGTCAGTAGTTGTTTTTCTCCAAAACGAGTGGCGAAAAAACATCATCGTTATCGCTAGAAATAATAACTTGTATACATTTCGAGAACAATAACGAGTAATATATTTATCCACCTTCGTGTACAGATGTATCCACAGTAGCTTATCGCCTAGTAAAATATTTACTAAAAATCTTGAGCTCTCAATCCATATATAAAAAAAATCAACATGCAGTAATAATAACATTATCAGTTTTGCTACCGATTAAGTTCGATAAACAAACAATATGTTGAGCACGTTTTAATTGTTTTTCAGAAATCATCGAAACCACAGACAAAATACATAGACCTAAATCGACCAAAGCAAAAAACAATACGAAATAAATAATGGCTGACGCAACTCGAAAGTTCTACAAAAAACAACAACAAAAGTAAAAATGTCTGAAAAGCGTACGCCCCCGAAAGAAAGTTACAAGTATTGTTTTGATAAAACGACACGCAAGTCTCGAGAATGGGCAGAGGAGACATCTCATTATTGTTTGGGTGCAACTATAGAGAAAGAGAAGAGCCAGCCGCTCGACGGTGACCCGTAAAATATCGATCGCCGAAACAAACGCATGCGCGCGCCGTCGTCCTACCCATTCAAAGGCCCGTAGTATTCATTGATAAATATCCACTCTCCGATCTTGCACGACTTGTTGACGACGAGGGGAGGGTAATCCAATCCACATCCCTTTCTACTTCCTCCCCGTGTCACGTCACGACGGCGATTTGGACCACGACACAAGCGTGGGCGTCCCATTCGGCTGCGATGGCATTTTTGCGTGGGTGTTTTCATTCACGAATCCTCTACTGTGCACGTTGTCGGCGGACCAAACGCTTTTGTACACTTGTTCTTCTGTACACGTTCGATATGTAATGGTGAATTTAGTTTCCAGACTACATTTATAATGCCTTTAAGGGTTCACGATAAGGATAGTTGAGTTCAAAACAAGTTTTAACAGAAAAACAACGTGAGAGTTGCCAAGAATTAACACGTTAAATATTTGGACGGAAAAAAAACAGACAAACGTCATTTGGCGGCAAAGACAATTTAATTGAAATTCCCGTGAAGCTATTTTGAAAAATAAAAAACAAGGTTAGGTCATAGTTCGACAGAAATTTTGCGTCGACAACACGTGGGTTTTTTTTTTTTTTTTTTACGTTTTTAAAGAAAAATATCCAAAAAATATATTCACCTTAGAACCACTGACCTTCGGTTCGTCTGTTCCTTATTAATAAACTAACATATACAAGCGGCCGTTCATTCATAGCGACAATATAATAGGTAAATGTTTTCGCACGAAATTCGTCAATGGACATGAGCAATTTTTCAAGGCGAACTACTACTCCTACCTACAACATTCCCAATATTATACACCGAACCGGATGATTGTAACGTTAATTAGTTGACGAGCAACGACGACAGACAGGTACACAACTTAATCATCGCGATAAAAAAACTTCATAATGCTACCCACGCACTACCACCAATCCGCTATCATTTTTGTGCAATTAAATTTCACAACTTGTAAAGGTACGCCCACACAGCCATACTCAAGTGTTTATCCGAAAACCCGTAACTGCTATAAAACGCTAGTGTTATTATTATTAATATAATACCGCAAGTACCGTAAACCATTTACGTAGGTCGTGTTTTCGCAAAATAATCAACGGTCTCGGATATCCAAAATGGGTTTTAGCAACTCGGTGTACTTAAAAACGCAGTAGAAATAATTTCGTTCGGGTAAAGGGCGTTTAGATCGATCAATCATTCATTCTATCGCTTACTCGGTCTATACTATACTCGCGAAACTAAGTATGCAGTACTACGGTATAGTGAATAACAGTAATAACGAACTGTCAGATACTTATCAAATCGTTTTTTAAACGTAGTGTTTACGTAAACGGCCCAGAAACTGTCATTGAAAAATTTAGCTAATATCGCACACAGTACTCAGTTAATGTGTGGGGAAAAAAAAAAAATCAAATTTTCCTTTAGTAAATCTGTTTTTTTTTATATTTACCTATGAATTCTATTGCTTGAGGGAAAAAGCCGGCAAGATTTTGTCCGATGTGATCGGATATTGGTATCTGCATGTACTTTATGGACCCTTGTTCTTCAAACGTATTCGGCAAATCCGACGTCACGTTAAGTATGTACTAGAAATGAAAAAAATGTGCGTTAGGTTTTCATTGACTCGTTCACAAAATTATCGTCATTACTTCTATCCTGTGTTTCTTCAGCCATTCCAAGTCTTCGGAGTTGGCTGCGTTACCTAAGAATAGGTCAGGTAGTATCTCGACGGGGAAGTCGCGGTCTTCGTCGAAGCCCAATATTGAACTAGAGCTGTCTACGTCCGACAAGCTGTCAATGTCAGACCCGCCGGAGCTCTCGGGTGACGTGCTCAACGCAGACATGAGTTGGTGCTGACGGCGGGCGTTTCGGGTGAGAGGTACCAACGACGGGGTGATGTGCAACGACCGAAGTCCCATTAGGGTGTCGGTGTCGCCGATGTAACCGGTCATGTCGTCGTTAGCTCGGGCACATCGTTCCAAGAACGACTCGCACCATTCGGGGTAAGACTGCTGGAAGATATCAAATCTCTCTAGAAAATAAAAATATCCATCATAAGTGTCGAGTTGAGAGACAACAAAAAGAGCTACAATTTTTTTTTAATAATCTGTAACAAAAAATATACATTCGAGTGATGGCGATAACGCGTTTTGTATGACGCAACGTGACGAGTTGGTTGACGTGAAATAATTATCCGTCTTTCGAAACTGTTTGTGTCGGACGCGCGACGGCTTATTTGCATGGAGACCACCACCGCGTTGGACTCGTCTAATCAGATTTTGAATTTCAGATTTTTTCCATTTAAAGACTTCCGGTGAACATCCGGCGTCGGTGGACGAACAACAACCACGAGATGATTACCATACACGGGATTCACAAGTTACTATTATGTTTATTTAACAATAAAGGGAAAAAATGTTTATTACTCGGGCGTGCGGGTATGAGCACATAAAGCGAACGACAAAAAAAAAAAAAAAAACGTAAGTGTACCGGCCGGTAGCGATGGCGGACAGGAAGGACGTCGGGCAATAATAACTAATAAGTTCGTTACGCAAGCGATGAACGGAAGACGGTCACAAATACTAACGCCCACAGAAAACTGAAAGGAAGATTTTTGAGCTGTGATTTTTGAACAGTTTCCTCCGGGCACTTAACACACACGGTTACGGATAATACACTTGGCCAAAAAAAAAAAAAAGGACCTCTTTCTCGGCTAAATGGATTTCCTGCTGTCGCCGTCGTTGTCAATTAATTTAGAACGAATCATCTACTTCTGCCTACACGGTATCGAGCTAAAATTACACGGAGGGCTAAAGGCAGCGGTGAAGGAGAGTCGCTTTAATAACCCGCGGGTTAATAAGAGGTATTATTTTTAACCCGTACGCATCGGTTATCTCTTTCCTCCTAGACACCCACACTGAAATCGACTTTCGCTCTTTTAAACAATTTTTTTCGTTAATATTTTCATTCACCATTTCTTCACCGACAAAAGAAATAAAACACTCGGACGTGTACACAACACACCATACTTGTGTGCGTATATTTGTGCGCGTGGGTTCGCGATGAGTGGGCGCCGCCGCCGCCTTCGTCATCGTCGTCCCACCAGACTTCCTCACCGTGTCCGACCGACCACTCCACTCGTCACCGTCATACCACCGTAAAGTTTCTTTCGCCATAGTCCGTTCCCGTCGGTCGAACGGAACATATCCCGTGTCAAATGAGCGTAGGGAACACTGTGCTAAATAAATCGAACTGCGCCATAGATAATTATACCGCTGCAGCACAACGTTCCAAAACACTACTTGAACTACTTGGACACCGGCCGGAAATTGAAATATGACCACCGGAAATGGACAATCATTAAAAACGAACGATTAACAACTCCCCGACGGCCCATACGACTACCCTCTCGAGGTGTAATCTCTTCCGTTCAGACCCGTTCGTAAAATCCACAAGAGGACGCCATGAGTAGCCGACTGGAAAAAGTGCACTCGAACACTAGTAAAAATAACGACTGCAGTATCCATAAAAAAAATACGAGAGACAATAACGTTTGAATAGGAACCATAAGTGGTACTGCAAGTGGCCATTCGCCGAAACGGACGAATGTGGCCAGAAGTAAAACAACCGCGGGGCGGTTAAAAGTAAGGTACAACAATAATATGCGACCCACACAAACCACCACAATAACATGTTATTATTGTTAATGTTATTTCAACCTTCTGGGAAACGCCTGTGTGTCGTTAAGCCCTGCCCGTTAAGGATAGTTTTGGCGGTATCCGGTTCAAACCCGAAAACCATAGGCGCCCACGCTGGAACGAAGCACGTGGGTCATAAAACGCCACGAGCGATCCCCGGCATAAGGGGACGTCGTATCGGTTTATTAAGTAAAGAGCGCGTTTGGTACGCCAGCCACGGGACGTAACATATTTCAATGGATATTGGATTTCAGTAGGAAACGGGTTGATTTTCTGGCTTGTTAGCATTTAGTCCCGTCCCATATACACCACCGACGGAGTGACCTACCTATCGGATCGGCGGCAGTCTTCAGGCCGCAATATCGATCCGACTGAGGGTTTACATACAAAATATATAGGTCAGCACAGTACACAAAAACACAGCGCTCCCAGCACACTCCTCCAACTGCACAACAGATTGCAAATAAAAAGGTGTCAACTCGTAAAGATGACATTTTTTACAATCAACGCATTTTTTAGTTTCGATATTACTTTAAAAACACCGTTTTAAAGTTGAGGCGAATTCCGTTTTATAGTTAAAAACTAATATTCCCAATAATATTTCGACTTAATTTTCGTAACATAAAAAATTATATAAATAAACTTATTTCAAAAGGGAACAAAAAGTGTCAGAATACGCCGCCAAACGACGTAGCCATCTATAGTGGCAATGAGAGTTAAAGGCATTATATTACCAAGTTCGTTTCTGATCACGAATTAAGTCACGTATGACCATTGAGTAAACAGAGAATTGACTGCAAAACGGGCAAATGAATGACATAATTAAAAGAAAGTCGATAGCGTGTTTAAGGGACGACAGCGGTGGTATGCTACGAATACATTATTTTCATTGAGAAAAAAACGTACTAGCCAACACACGATGCGCGTGTAGTAAACTAATTCATAGCTTGATTGTATTTTTAATTATTACTACTACACACAACACGGTGTTATAAAGTTACATGCGATACTTAGCCGACTAAAACGTAACACCTACTTGATAATATCATAGTTTTCGAATTCATTTCAGCAAAATATGCAAACACAACTCGAATATTACAAAACTGTACTCTCGTACAAATTGAACAAGTGACACGATCAATGTTATTTTTGATACCATTCACAAGTAAAATATAATTCAACACAACACAACCAAAACTCCGATTCGACTCCTTAACCGAAATAAAGGGCCAACATTTTTCCTTGGGTAAAACTCTACCTTTGATTTTAAATTGAATTGAAGTATTAAATCAGTTTTTGATATACATCAATAATACTATTTATGTAACAATTTGATAAAAATAATAATAACAATAATATATCCGTGAAAAAATTTACTCGGTTTGAAAAAAAAATCTTAAAATTATACTCGAACAACAATCTGTCTAGAATGACGACGTATTTCGACGATTTAAAATAAAAACACGTCGGACTCGATAAACAAAACCGGCTGAACGCCTTCTTCGACTATTATCTAAATATTGAGATTTTTTCGCCGCTGCACTTGTAAATGCCAAAAATTACTGCTCCGACAAGACATACTATTCCATTATTAGACTCGATAAATGAAATGTTCTCGTGTTTAATAATTGTCGAACGATTCAAGCGCGACCGCCAATTCCGTTGTCGATTGCGAATCGAAAGCAGCAAACGGACGGCAAGTGGAATTTGAAATATTCTATTTATAAAATTGGGAGAGAGAAAAAAACGCTTAGCCAGTTGCACTTTAAACGAGCGTTGTAATTATTTGTGTTTATTAACGAGCACCGGATATCCGCTGTCGTCGCGTATATATGCGAGAAATCTGCACCATCGACAGTGTTTTTAAAATAGGCCGCATGTTTTTCGAGCATTCCGTCGGCCGATGAAAAAGGAAACAGGAAACCAGTCGGCGGCATACTTATTTTCGGACCACGTCGGTCGCCCGGCAGGGTGTTTGCCGTTTTTGCGAGCAGAACAACCCCCGGGAAGGTCTTACCGACAAGAAAAAAAAAAAACAACACTCGCATGGAAATGTCGGAAACGCGCATCCGGTTGACGACGGGCAAACGGAATAACAACAACACCGAGCGCACAGGATATGGCGAGAGGCGCACGAGCCGGATACCGGACGGTGACGGTGTACGGCTGGTTTTTTGGTTGGGTTGTGAAAACACGGCGGCGGCGGCACACGACGTGTAAAAGAGACTGTTCCGGCCATTCATGGCCAAATCGGAAGAGGACCCATTTTTAGATCCAACCGAAAATTCACAAGGCCCACCCTCCCCAAGTGTATTCTTCATCGTTTTAAATAAGGCAAACAACACTTGTCATTCATTCACGATAATCATATCCGTTGGTCCGTAATAGAAATATTAAAGAACGGCGACAATAAATAGGCGATGTTAACAACGCAATTATTGGTGTCATTATTCCCAGTGGTATTTCATTTTTCACATAACGGCCTCGCACAACACGTACGACGATAATACAAATTATTTGTCGCCCATCCGCTGCCCGGACGGGCGTATCCTCTTGGCCATTTCGCAAAATAATTGTGTCGAAATAACCACGTAATTGGTCGTGCATTTGTTTAGACACATACCAACCGACTGAACGTGGATCGCACATCAGAACCAATACCAAAACAAATAAACTTAAGCTATTTGGGTTGCCATTGGGTTCATAATTGAAATTATGAAAATCGTAAAGAGTCGATAAAATATACACTCCACAGCATAGAAATACATAAAAATTAGTCTCGCATAATTATCAATTGAACAATTGTTATTTTTTTAAAATATTATCGACATCGCTTTTGACGTTAACCAATGACAAAAAGTATCATCGATTCGTGTAATATGATCATCATTCGTTGCATTTCAATAAACACAACTGATCTTCTCAATTTTATTCTAAGACTCGTATGACTTTGGATTCAAAACTACTAAACAAAACCTAAACTTGGACTTTTTTTAACTCGCGTCTACTACACAACTAGCGAATGAATTAAAACAAAATACCTCCTTGTAAAAATACTCGAAAAAAATATATTAACAAATGCAAAATATCAGTAACCACAATGAATAGAAGAAAAAAAAAATGAATTTTCTGTTATGTTCCGAAGTGTATTGATCGGTGTTTGAAATCAATTTGACACGGAGGCAATTTTTTAAACGTGCAAATTCTTATGGGGGTCAAGGCTACGGATGATAGAACAAATAATGTACGAGGCTACCGGATACGCGCCGATTAGTGTAATGTTACTATGATCGTCGCCTCTTTCCGCCGTGGGAATCGAATATATCACACTGTG